TCTGCTTTGTGGTGAAATTAGCTTTCATGCATTACTGGTGTTAAATTGACAATTTGTCGATGATTATCAAAAGCCTGTAAAACTAGCATACTCTTAAACTCAGAAATTAAACTCAGAAATTCTAACTTCTGAGAAGTTTTCCTAAGTGAATAATTGAACAAGTGATTAAAGTGAGTCTATAATAATGTCCTTAGCAGCATTGTTTATAAGAAGATATAAAGTTGAAAACAATCTCAAATGTGCCTCAGTAGAAAATTGGTTAGACCGTAGTAGATCCATGTAATCATTATGTATGTGTATACCTAAGTGGAATACTGTGTTGCTATTGAAATTATATATTGCTAATATGTTAAAAAAGTCATAAACAAGGTAAATTAAAGAAATCGTGTATGAAATGATATGTATGACATAATCCTATTTTATTAAGAAGGAAAATGTCTGTGCATGCACAGGAAAATGGTAGAATATATCACATACTCATCATGTTCAAATCTGGGTGGTATGATTCTAGGGAGTGGCTTTTAATTTCTCCTTTATACATTTTGAATTGTTGGATTTTTAAAAAATTTTTATATGTGTTTTGCTTTTAAAATCCAAAAGAATGAACAATTGAGAGTTTTTTTTTTTCAATTTTGAAAGAAAAGATAATAAACCTGTGGTGTTAGTAGGATGGGAAAGTCACCACAAGGGAGAGGCCTAAAAGCTAAGAAATGACTGTTTTGCATGCCTAAGGCGAATGTAGGGAGCCTCAAAGTTGAAGAATTTCCACCCTATCAGGTCATTTGGCATGGACACAATTTTACCTATAAAGTCAACTGATATGTTCTTGAACCAGCAACTGGACATGTTATGATTGAAAATGCCATGAAACCATTTTAGCTCTTGTTTTTGTTCTTGACTTTATAAACAATCTTAATATCTTTATCAGTAGTCATTAAAAGATCCTTAGAAATTTTGCCCTGTGATATGGTTAGGCTTTATGTCCCTACCCAAATCTCATCTTGAATTGTACTCCCCGTAATCTCCACGTGTCAAGGGAGAGACCAGGTGGAGGTGATTGAATCATGGGGCAGTTTCCCCCATGCTGTTCTCATGATAGTGAGTTCTCACAAGATCTGATGGTTTTATAAGGGACTCTTCCTTCTTCATTTGGCACTTCTTCCTGCCATCTAGTGAAGAAGGTGCCTTGCTTCCCCTTCACCTTCTACCATAATTGTAAGTTTCCTGAGGCCTCCCCAGCCATGCTGAACTGTGAGTCAATTAAACCTCTTTCCTTTATAAGTTACCCAGTCTCGGGCAGTTCTTTATAGCAGTGTGAAATGGACTAATACACTGTAGTAGCTGTGTATCCTAGAAAAGGGGCTCCAAATGGAGAATGATTGCCTATAAACTTTAAGCTGTACCAAGCGAGAAGAGTCAGAAGAGACAGTGGAGATGATCGGTTGTTCAGGTCGCTCCACTGAGAAATCAAAGATGAAGAGAGGTTACATGTGATGTGGCCGATGTGGCAAATCTAGTTCATGTCAGAGCTAACAGCCAGCAATATCCAGCCATGAAGCCCAGTGGGTAGGTGAAAGGAGAAAGATGGTAACTTCTCAAAATAGTGGGAAATTAAGGACTTAAGGTTATATTCCATTAAGGGGACGGAGGAATTTTGTTTTTAGGATAGGTGTATAAGTTCGTTTTCACACTGCTGTAAAGAACTGCCTGAGATGGGTAATTTATAAAGAAAAGAGGTTTAATTGACTCACAGTTCTGCATGGCTGGGGAGGCCTCAGGAAACTTACAATCACGGAGGAAGGGGGAGCAGGCACCTTCTTTACAAAGCGGCAGAAGAGAGAAGAGTGAGGGAAGCAGGAACTTGCCAAACACTTAAAAAAAACATCAGATCTTGTGAGAATTCACTCACTGTCATGAGCACAGCATGAGGGAACCACCCCCATGATCCAATCAGCTCCCACCACATTCCTGCTTCAACACCTGACACCTGGGGATTACAATGCAAGATGAGATTTGAGTAGGGACACAAAGCCTAACCCTATCAATTGGGATATCCCATATGGAGTTTTGTGCCTCTTGCTTGTCTTGGAAAAAGAAGGCCCCAAGTAATCGTCATGACCTCATGACTGATCCAGATATGTAAAAAAGCAAATTGAGACTTCCTGTTTTGATTAGTTTGGGAAGCAGTTATTAAGGATTGATTCTCCCTGTTGTGGTTAAAGCTGTCTACCAAGAAATAAGCCAAATGAATATTAGGCCAAGAATCTGAAGGGTGAAGCCAAACCACTGGGAAGGGCTTTCTACTGCAACTACAATATGATTGAATTAGAAAGGAACATTCGAACCATGTCATGTTGTCACCTCAAATTCAACAAGTCTAAAATTGAACTCATCTTTCCTCACGAAGCGGCTCCTTAACTGAACTTTCCTAACAACAGGAAGACACTGCAGTGCAGAATGCTTTGCCACGAGATATCTGTCTATTATTTCATTTGATTATCACACACAAGAAAATTTAACTCTAAAATTTAACTTTAAAAGATTAATCAAAGGGCTGCAGATTAGTAAGAGACCAATTCTAAAACCCAAGTTTTCTGAATCCTAATCTAGTCATCCATTATCAACTATATCACACTGCCCCCCGTCCATATTTGTGAAGTAAACCAGCCCATTTTATAGAATTACTAAGTGACACTTTATTTGTATTGGCTTTTGAGGATTGCACATGAGCAGATTTTGGTAAACATGAAGTCAGATTTTCTCAAGTAGCAAAGAAGAAACCAACCAACCTTCGGAATCATTAATCCTGTTTTTTTATGAGATACCTCAGTGAAAAAAACATTCATAGCATTCTTATTATTGAAGTCAAAAGATGACACAGATGAAATAAAGTACTGACTCTAAGCCTAAAAATGCCTAGTTTATAACTCTAACATGAGCACACCATCATCAGTTATATTAGGTTAATATATGGTATAAGTGGTATGGTTCTACTGTTTTGTTTTAATTTGCCAATTATTTTGGCTTTGCAATGATGTAAGAATTATAAGCATGTTCTAGAGAAATGCCATACAACATTGTACCTATAGTTAACAATGTGGTTAACAATTTTTACAATTTTAAAGTGTATTGTACACTTTAAAATATGCCAACAGGGTGGATTTCATGTTAAGTGTTCTTACCACAATTTTAAAAAGAATTATTAGCATGAAATGTTTACATATCTGGATTTCTATTTTGTAGATATGTAAGTAACATTGTAATAAAAACACTGTAATTCTCCAGTACAAAAAGCAGCTTGCTACACAATGCAGCCCCACACCCATACCCAACCCATCGACCCGTCGAGTCAGCATCCATCCTTTCTCGGCACTCTGTATCTCAGTACACATTCTGCCTTCAAAAATAGCTAAGTCAAACAAGTTCAAAATAGCTATTTCCTCTTGAGTTTGAGCATCTGCAGTTCCCCAGCCCCAATTCTTTATTTGGAAATAAGTATTAGGAGAAACATACCTAGCATAGTGATATTGATTTGTAATTTCCTCAAATAGACATTCACTTTAGATGACTACAAAAGCTAAATAGAATTCAGGAGCTCGAGACCAGCCTGGGCAACATAGTGAAACCCCATCTCTTAAAAAAAAAAAATACTAAAGTTAGCTGGGTGTGGTAGTGTGCACCTGTAGTCCCAGCTACTCAGGAGGCTACGGTGGGAGAATTGCTTGAGCCTGGGAGGTCAAGGCTGTGGTGAGCTGTGATCACATTACTGCATTCTGGCCTGTGTGACAGAGTTAGACTCTGTCTTAAAAAAAAAAGAGCTAAGTAATATATACACATGTGAAGTCCTCTGTGTCTGCCTTCCTCAGCCCATTGACTTCTATCTAAATACACACCTGTGGGCCATTGTGATGTGCCCAGCATGGCAGTGGTATGATACTAAGGCATGTTTTAGAGCAAAAGAGGGGGGCCTTAAAGGGAGCTGCCACCCCTTCAAAATGCACTGACTCTGAAGCATCCTACCAATTGTCACTAACACCTTCTCTCTCCAGTGAAAAGGAACTGGAGGGAAAAACAAAATCCCAGCAAAGAAGATATCCTACTCCCAATTTTAATAATACTTATTACCGAATATAATATTTAATTTTAATAATATTTATTATAATATTATGTTTATTATAATTATTAAATAAATTTAATAATTTTGGCTTATTAGCACCAGCCTCGGTTTGGTAGTGTAACTTGATTCTTTTCTGATCTTCGTGACAGTGTCTACACAAATAATTCATGCAACATGCTGTATCTTTTGAAGTAAGCGTTTTGATTATTTTTGGTTCAATACTTTGAGTCCCTTCTTCTAAATCTTACATGCTGGTAATCAGCTTTGTAAAGAATTCCTAACCCAAGGCCAGGCCTGGTGGCTCATGCCTGTAATCCCAGTAATTTGGGAGGCCGAGGCAGGCGGATCATGAGGTCAGGAGTTCGAGACCAGCCTGGCCAGTTTGGTGAAACCCCATCTCTACTAAAATACAAAAATTAGCTGGGCATGGTGGCACGTGCCTGTAATCCCAGCTACTTGGGAGGCTGAGGTAGGAGAATCACTTGACCCCAGGAGGCGGAGGTTGCAGTGAGCCGAGATCGTGCTGCTGCACTCCAGCCCGGGTGACAGTGCCAGACTCCGTCTCAAAAAAAAAAAAAAAAAAAAGGCTAACCCGCAGTTTCCAAAGGAACTTGTTTTTGTGCAGAATGTTTTAGTTTAAGTTGTTATTTGGTAATTGTAAATTATCTTCTGTAGCTATTGGATTAATGCACTTCACATAGTTAAAAGTTTGAAAGCTAGTTGACTAGGTCTCTAAACTTAAGGAACTGAACCATCCTTTTAGACGTATGTGGTTCATTAAGCAGTTAAGTTCAGAAAAGGGCTCAGGGCTGTTCCTGCCAAGAAGTTGGTGAAGACATTTGGCAAGTGGCATGCTCAAGAGGTTGTCTTTGTAATGTTGCAGAATCGCCTACCAGAGGAATGATGATGATGAAGAGGAGGCAGCCCGGGAACGGCGCCGCCGAGCCCGACAGGAACGGCTGCGGCAGAAGCAGGAGGAAGAATCCTTGGGACAGGTGACCGACCAGGTGGAGGTGAATGCCCAGAACAGGTACTCTCCTCTTTGGGACGGGGAATTTCTAACTTACGTGTTAGCCTGTCTTTTGAATGGAATTTGTCAAGCAAAGCATTCCTTTCCCGGCTCAACTCAACGCTTTTTCAATCTAACTTGTTGAATTATTTTGCAGTCATTTTAGGCAACTAATCCGATTAGATAGGCAATCTGATTTAGACATTAGGACACGATATTCTATTTCTCTCCACCCCGTTCCCATCTCATAAACATACCCCACTTGAAGGCTTTTATTTCATTTTACAATCTAGCATTTGTTTAATTAATAACTATGGTGTGCTATATCTTTTTTATATATATATATGTATATATTTTTTCTGTTTAATTCTTTTTTAAAATTTCAATAGTTTTTGGGGAACAGGTGGGGTTTTGGTTACATGGATAAGTTCTTTAATGGTGATTTCTGATATTTTAGTGCAGTCATCACCCGAGCAGTGTACACCATACCCGATGTGTAGTATTTTATTCCTCACACCCCTCCTACATTTCTCCGTGAGTCCCCAGTGTCCATTATATCACTTTTGTACCTTTGCATCCTCATAGCTTAGCTCCCACTTATAAGTGAGAACATATGATATTTGGTTTTCCATTCCTGAGTTACTTCACTTAAAATAATGGTCTCCAACTCCATCCAGGTTGCCGTGAATTCCATTATTGTGTTCCTTTCTATGGCTGAATAGTATTCCATGGTGTGTGTGTGTGTGTGTGTGTGTGTGTGTGTGTGTGTGTCTGTGTATGGTAAGTAGCTTCTAACTGGGGAGTAGGTATAGCAAAGGGGAAATAGGTATAATTTCTGGGGTTCACTGACTGACTTTGACTCCCAATTTGACCTGACGTATATATATGAGAGATATATATTTACACATATATATATGTATGTATATATACACAACACATTTTCTTTACCCACTCATTGGTTGATGGGCATTTAAGCTGCTTCCATATTTTTGCAATTGCAAATTGTGCTTCTATAAACATGCATGTGCGAGTATATTTTGCATATAATGACTTCTTTTCCCCTGGGTAGATACCTAGTAGTGGGACTGCTGGATCAAATGTTAGTTCTACTTTTAGTTCTTTAAGGAATCTATACGGTTTTCTGGTGGGTTATTTCTTTAAATAAGAAAAAGTATTTACATTTATTCTGTAGGGTATTGCTATCCATTTTGAACTGAAGATATGTTAGTATAGTAGAGTTCTCTGTGCCTACCATTAATAGGTAACACATGAATTTTTAAAGTGGGCATGAATTGCAGATGTCTTCTCTTTTCCAGTACACAGCCTGAATCAATAGTCTTTGATCATTATAATATTCAACAAGATACAGAATTCTGCTTAATTTAATGTGGTTATTCAAACACACTTAATAAGTTTGCTATTACGTATTTTCTCACTCGGGCCCTGGTAGAAATCAGGGAAGTTGAGAATGCCTAATAGGTTCAACTTCTTCAAAGAGGGCTTTTGCAGCAGAAATAAGGTCTTATGGTTCATTATGCTAATGGTTAGTATGTGCCATTTATATTGTCATTTATATGCCCCAAGGTCTAAAAAAGATGAGGATATTTGAGGAGGAAAATGGAGAAAATAATTTTAATTTAAAACCATGGACTGATTATAATGGTTACACTATATAAGATCTCACATGTGGTTTTGGTTTTAGTTTGTTTTACTTTGTTTAATTCAATCTATTTAGAAAATTCTAAAGGGAATGGGTCCCGGCTTCCTTAACCTAAGTTTGGGAGGCTGTATTAGAAGGTTTCTGAAAGCAGTCTTGAAAATGTTGGCCGGTAGCACAGATATTGGTTACCCTTTCCCTCAGTAAGTAGCTTCTAATTGGGGAGTGGGTATAGCAAAGGGGAAATAGGTATAATTTCTGGGGTTCACTAACTGACTTTGACTCCCAATTTGACCTTTCGCTAATTGTATTTCTTCAGTTAAATGGAAATAAAAATTAATACTTTTCTCCTAAAAATGCTGCTAAACTTAAACTATGTAATAATGCATGTAAAATGCAGAGTGTCATACACATAGTAAGCACTCAATAAATTTTCACTGTTACCAGATTCTTAACACGGGAGGGCAACATAGTTATTCACTGCCTTTTCTGTTTTCAAGCTGAGAGAGAAATAATAGAAAGAGTTTTAAAAATGGCATTTTGATGCCTTTCCTGAATCTTGTTATTAATGAGTGGTCAACAGGAGCTTAAAAAGTTACTGCTGGTCTGTAGTTTTCTTGCTTTTAAAGTCTTGCTTTTCCTTGTGCTTCCCTTCTCATATTTGGCTATTATTCATTATTTCATGCTATTGATCGAATTCAAATGCTTTTTTTTTAGAAAATCATATTGAGGTTTGAGAACGTGTGATTTATCTCTGACATATTAGTTAGCCACAAGAAGAATAAGTCTTCTTGGGGCTAAACCACTCTAACTGGCATTTGATATCTACTGGTTATTGTGGTCATGATTTATATATAGGCAAAGAAATGTTCAATACAGTTTGTTGGTTTCTTAGCATAAGAGTACTTTAATCTGGCTAGCACTTTGGAATTTTGGTGCCTTTTTAAAATTATTAGAATTCAATTGATCCAAATGCCCTCTCTATAGACTTCCCCTTCAATTATAAATTTTTTACATTTGTAGGGACATTTAATCCTTATATGTCTAATTTCATGGACGCAGTATCCTGAAGCAAAAGTAAAGGCCAAGAAAGTTTTAAAGCTAGTTTTTACTATGCTAGTTTTCGTTGTTAAATATGAAATGTGTTTTTCCAAAATTAAGTGAATTTGAACTTCGAAAGGGCCAAGTTTGGTCTGAACTATGAAATTTGATGGAGTTTCTAAACATTGAAAGACAAATTCTTCCAACTCTGGTCCCAGTTCTGGTGTCACATGACTGGTTGTTTCCTGCAAGTAGAAACCAACACCCTGGCTTGGACAGTGTCCCGCATCCTGCAATAGTGAGGGAGGTGATGGACAGCAGTTTAACTTTTGGAGATTTTTTTTCCTTTTAAAACTAAATGTCAAATTTAACTGCCCTTTTTCCACTGTAGAAAAGATGGACAAGAAACCCTTTATTCATGGAAGTCTTGACAAAGAAGGTAGATTGTGTATACATTAGTTAGGGTAATGCTGGCTGCGATAAAGATTAGTACCTCCAAATTGTAAGTTTAGTGCAGTAACACTTACCATTATGCATATTTCTGTCTAGTTGGTGGAACCAGCCACCTGTCTTCTTTTCTCTTGTGGTTCTCAATCCCTAGGGCTTGGCGCTTACTGATCTACCAACAGACAGAGATAGAGAAGACAGGGAGTGCACCTCTGTTTGTTCATTGCCTTGGTTGGGTACTTTGTTTACATTTCATTGGCAGTTATTGGTCACCTGGCCCCGCCTAGGCGCAAAGAAAGGAGATGGTGCAAATTTAATCCTTGAGTGGTGATCACTCCCCCCGACTATGGAAGGAGGAGCAGGAATTGTAAGGGACACTTAGATGTCTCTTCCACTGGGGTCATTGGCATGAGTGTGGAATCTCAACACTGTAATGTACAGTTTCTTCCTCTCGAAGTACCTTGGGAGCCTTCAATCCAGATCAGGAATTCTAGATGACTTGGTGACATGTGAGAATACTACATGACATCGAAGGAATTCACTTATTATTTCAGTTTGATCCTTAAGTTTGAATTCCCCAAGTAGCAAGTCCAGAAACAAAGATTTGACTACAAGTCATTTATTTGTAAGGTGATGCTAGAAACGCTGGTGGGGGTGTGGGAAGGTGAGACAGAAAAGGGAAGGCCACCAAATAAAGGTTGCATGACCAAGCACATCACCACTGGGTATCTGGAGCTTCACTCCACGGGGAAACTCTGAGGTCCAGTGTGGAACACACACCTTGGAGTTTTCCAACTCAAAAAGTGAGGGGTGCTGAGGTATCTAAACACTTAAGGCTCATCAATTTTTGTTTGAAAACTGCTCCCAGGGGACATTAATACCTAAAGCACTTCTGGCATGGGGAGTAGACTCCAGTGCCAGAGAAAGGCTTGCACATGCTGTCAGCTGAAAGCCAGGCAGGCATGTACTAAAATGGTAACGTACTGGGGACATGGGCAGGCTTGGCACTACTGGCATCTGCTGTAGTCCTGGGTGGCACAGGCTGTATGAATGCTGCTGACTGATGAATGAGCAAGCTGTCTTTGGTGTTGTTCTTTCTGTTGTACAGTGTGCCTGACGAGGAGGCCAAGACAACCACCACAAACACTCAAGTGGAAGGGGATGATGAGGCCGCGTTCCTGGAGCGCCTGGCTCGGCGAGAGGAAAGACGCCAAAAACGCCTTCAAGAGGCTCTGGAGCGGCAGAAGGAGTTCGACCCAACAGTAACAGATGCAAGTCTGTCGCTCCCAAGCAAAAGAATGCAAAATGACACAGCAGAAAACGAAACTGCCGAGAAGGAAGAAAAACGTGAAAGTCGCCAAGAAAGATACGAGATAGAGGAAACAGAAACAGTCACCAAGTCCTACCAGAAGAATGATTGGAGGGATGCTGAAGAAAACAAGAAAGAAGACAAGGAAAAGGAGGAGGAGGAAGAAGAGAAGCCAAAGCGAGGGAGCATTGGAGAAAATCAGGTAGAGGTGATGGTGGAAGAGAAAACAACTGAAAGCCAGGAGGAAACAGTGGTAATGTCATTAAAAAATGGGCAAATCAGTTCCGAAGAGCCTAAACAAGAGGAGGAGAGGGAACAAGGTTCAGATGAGATTCCCCATCATGAAAAGATGGAAGAGGAAGACAAGGAAAGAGCTGAGGCAGAGAGGGTAAGGTTGGAAGCAGAAGAAAGAGAAAGAATTAAAGCCGAGCAAGATAAAAAGATAGCAGATGAACGAGCAAGAATTGAAGCAGAAGAAAAAGCAGCTGCCCAAGAAAGAGAAAGGAGAGAGGCAGAGGAGAGGGAAAGGATTAGGGAGGAAGAGAAAAGGGCAGCAGAGGAGAGGCAGAGGATAAAGGAGGAAGAGAAAAGGGCAGCAGAAGAGAGGCAGAGGATAAAGGAGGAAGAGAAAAGGGCAGCAGAGGAGAGGCAGAGGATAAAAGAGGAAGAGAAAAGAGCAGCAGAGGAGAGGCAGAGGATAAAGGAGGAAGAGAAAAGGGCAGCAGAGGAGAGGCAAAGGGCCAGGGCAGAGGAGGAAGAGAAAGCTAAGATAGAAGAGCAGAAACGTAACAAGCAGCTAGAAGAGAAAAAACGTGCCATGCAAGAGACAAAGATAAAAGGGGAAAAGGTAGAACAGAAAATAGAAGGGAAATGGGTAAATGAAAAGAAAGCGCAAGAAGATAAACTTCAGACAGCTGTCCTAAAGAAACAGGTACAGTAAACATTTTGCACCAAATGTGTGATGCCTGTGACTTGTGAGAAATGTAATGCACATCTGATTTGGGACTGAGGCCACATGCATATAGCTCACATGCTTGATCATTTGGCAAGCTGTTCATTTTTTCAGGCCATAGCAATACACAAGCATGCGGCAATTGATTGATGGCTGAATATTCAATCAACCAACTTTACTGGGACAGCCAGTAAATTTGGCTGTCCAAAAGACAGAGAGAAATTGATTGCTCTGTGCTTGATTGTTATGAATACCAAAAAAACCGAATTAATCCAAAGATGATAAATGTGGTGGTGGTGTGTTGGCTTCTGATTCTGCACCTGCATCTAAACTCATTCTTTTAATTATCTTTCCTCTATCCATAGGTCTGCATGAGGCAAGAGGCCCTTAACTCCTTACCTCACTCATGGGTTTGATGTTGAATTAAAAAAATGATAAGAGCTGGGGTGGGAAATAGACCTGAATAATAATGGTCAGACATTTCATCTTAAGAAGGCAAAAACAGGCTGGGCGCGGTGGCTCACGCCTGTAATCCCAGCACTTTGGGAGGCCGAGGAGGGCGGATCATGAGGTCAGGAGATCAAGACCATCTTGGCCAACATGGTGCAACCCTGTCTCTACTAAAAATACAAAATTAGCTGGGTGTGGTGGCATGTGCCTGTAATCCCAGCTACTCAGGAGGCTGAGGCAGGAGAATCACTTGAAACCGGGAGGCAGAGGTTGCAGTGAGCCAAGATTGTGCCACTGCACCCCAGCCTGGGCAACAGGGCGAGACTCCATCTCAACAACAAAAACAAAAAAAAAAAAAGAAAGAAAGAAAGAAAAAAAGAAGGCAAAAACAAATACCTGGAAATTAACTGGTAATAAAGAGGGGAAAGGAACTGGTTGGAACCTTTCCTTAAAAAAAAATCAAAACCCTGATTTGCCAACATGTAGACCTCAGCTTAATGTAGACTTGCAGAAAGCCATTAATTTAGGGTAGTATCAATGTATAACTGACTGGTAATTAAGAGCATACATGCTTCTTTATTATCTGGGTGACACAAATTCTTGTGGCCTGAGGAAGGGTGGAAATAGTAGGGGGGAAATGTTTGTAAGCTTTGAGAAAGATTTTTTTCTGTCTGCAAGGCTGCATTAAAAGCACTGTACCTAATCACCACCACCACCAACCCTAAAAAAAGAAAAAAGGAGATGCTTTCACATTCACCTTTCCAGAGCAAATTCTCTGTCACTAAGCCTGCATTGCACTGAAGGTGTCTTTAACTCCTGCTTCTGTATAAGAGGCTCATGAACAAAGCTACAATTGAGATCATGAGCAAAGTGCACCAAACCACACACGAGGTTTGTAAACACACGAGGAGTGCCACATCATGCTAGATTTCAGTAAGCGCAATGGCAGGCACACGAGAAGATGTTGGGGTGGGAAGAAAATAGCCCACCTTGCTGTTTAGAACCACTGTGCTGTGAGCGCTGAGACGGCAGAAGAGAAGCCATCCCATGCAGCACGTGCAAAGCGATCTGAGCACCCTGTCACTCTTGTAAACTAGAAAGGGCTTCTTTTACTTGTATGACCTTACCATTCTTGAAAATAAAAAGGGAGAAGAGAAGGGAGCTAAAGTGCAAGCTAAAAGAGAAAAGCTCCAAGAAGACAAGCCTACCTTCAAAAAAGAGGAGGTAAATATGATTGAGAAGTAATGATCGTAAAGCAACAGAAAAAGCAGTCAGTGTTCCAAGATATCTCAGGTCTGATGATCTCAAAATTGTAACCCCATATCCAGTGTATTTCAAGCCATGACTCACAATCCATTAAATAGTAAGATCAGCTTAGAGTGTCTCAAAATTAATTAAATGTATCAGTCAGCATTTTTTAAAAAATGAAATGGATAGAAAGCATCATAGGGCACTGTAGGTAGTAAGTATTGCATTGTCATGTAAATTGTCTTTTTTTCTGTGGGACACCATCAAAAAGACTTGAAAAACACTGCTGGAATCAATTTATCCTGCTTTCTAGTCTTCTGAATGCTAATTTTTTTTCCTTGAGCCATTCTACTTTCATTTCAATCATGAAATATTTCCAACTGGCCTTGATTAATGCTTTAACTTTTCAAAGGAAAAACACCCATACACATCTCAGTAGAAAATTTGATGAACTGAAGATGATATTTGGTTTTCAAAAAGAAAAGTTTGGCCAAATGTTCTGCATTGCATTTCTGAGGCACACACAGGAGCAGGTGCCAGGGTGTTTGACTGTAGGTAAGTGAACAAGGAGCTCTACAGATAGAATGGCACGGGATTTGACAGTAGTCAGAACACCACATCAGAACACCTGATTGCATTTCAACTCTGGTGCTGTGTTTGCCCCAAATAATCTTAAAAATTGTGACTATATCGAATAAGTTCACAGTATTTACTAGAATGTGGTGAAACTGAATTATTAGAAGTAGGAAGACCCGAAGTTCTTCACCAAGAGACTGGTGAGGTGATTTGTGGCCAACAAGCTCCAACCCACGTGGACTGTTGCTACATTTCTGTGCCTATCATGGCATCTATTAAGAAAGCTAAAAATCTTAAACAGAAATCCATATTTAGAAAACAGGTGACCAGATTAAGTAGGGGGTGGATTATTTTCTTAAATATGTTTTGTCAATTTCACGTAAAAAATGAAAACCCCCAGTTCACATTACATATTACATTTCTGTTAAGATGTATGTTCCTCTGTTTCTAACAGAAGTTGCGGTGGTTTGGAATTGAAAATTGAATATGAGCACAGGCCATATAAAGGAAGGAGAAAGTGTAAATGCCAATAATAGGAAAACTGCATTTAGCTCTCATGAGGCAGTCAAGGAAATCATTCACTGAACATGTTGGGAAACACTTTTCATTTAGTGACCAAATGCCTACAAATTCATTTACAAAAAAGAAAAATAAAAGTTACCTCAGAACTAAACTCAGAAATATGTCCCACATGGGTTCTTGTAGTGTTTCTTGGTGAATGTCTTTATAGAAGAAAGAAGTGGGCATGAAATGATGACTCAGTAATTAAACACGTGGGGGAAGGGAGGCTGTAGAAAACACTGGAGTCTGTATTTAAAATTTCATTCAGTTCACTAAAATGGGATTTGTTTTTACTGACCAAAGCTTTCTGTACCTATGTAGAGTGTCTGAGAACTAGAAGGGCCCATCAGTTGCCACTCGGATGATCCTTTTGTCTCTTTTCAGATAAGGCCCCAGTTCAACAGCATCCTTGGTGTCAATCAGATACTCCCAGGAATGACTGAGCCCTGCCCTTTTCCCCAGTTGCCCCTCAGCACATTCCAGCCAGTTCCAAAACATTTGGCCTGTTTTTGACACAAGGCCAGATAAGCTACTCAAACTGGTTAAAAAAAAAGAAAAAGAAAGAAAACAAATCCAATCTATGTTCCTTTTTTAACATTGTGTACATAACCTGCTGGTCGAAAGACTCGGTTTTCCCCTTTCCAGCTAGTTGTGTTGTTCCTTTATGTAGACAGCTTTAAATCATGTTTACATGATTCAGCCATTTTAAACAACCTCTTCCTATTTTTTTTTTCCTTTTTGTTCAAAAAAAAAAAAGCAACTAACTAAAACCTTTCCTTTCAAGGATTTATGCAGCATAGGATAGGGCAACCACAAGTAAACACAAACATCACGTGAGCCTTCTTAGAGAAAACATTTCCAGAAATCACTCCAATGTCTTAAAAAACACACAAAATAAAACCCGTCTTTCTCCACTGCAGTTTAACTGTGGCAATGAGTTGCAGACGATCACCAACATTGAAACTTAATTTAGCTTTTTTTCTCTCTTCTCCAATTATAAAAAGTCTCTTTTTAGTTCTTCATGCAGGAGCTATTTTATTTCTTTTCTGGCTTCTAACAGGAAAACAGTTTCTAGCAGAGCGGCTCCTGAGGTATTGAAAGTGATGTTTGTGTCCTGCGGATTAACCCTTCCCAAATATTGGTGCGCATGCAAATCACCTGGGAGTCTTAAATGCAGAATCTGATTCCATGAGGTCCATGTTGTCCGTGAACCAAACTTTCAGTAGTGAGGAGTCTAGAAGACGTCCATGTTATAGAAATTGAACCCAGGAAAGGATTTGGGGCTTCTGAAGCTAGCAAAAGCACGTTACACCCAGCCTGAGGAAACAGTAGCTACACCCAGCTCTTGTTGCTATTCTGGAACCAAATAATGCAAAATATGCTCGAGACACATCTCAGTCCTTGCTCACTTGACTTTCTGAGTGTCTCTCTGGCACAGGGGCCTGTCACTTGAATTCCCATCCCCCACCTCATCCCCATGTGTTATTCCACTGGATATCCCAAGTATCTAGATTTCCAAAACCCAAATGATCACATTTGGCCAGAGCCTTTCTTTTGAGTATGCTAATGTTATCTGTGTATGAAGCACACAAACTCTTTTAGGATACGCGGCTACCTATTAATCCTTCAGCACAGATGTTCTCCATGGTAACATTCTGACCTATAAGATCTAATGCCTTTCCCAGAGGGCTCAGAATCCCATGAGTTTGGTTAAATCTGCCATAACATCTAAAAAAAAATGTAAAGGCTCTATGAAATTACTTTATTTATTCATTTCCCAGAAAGAGAAAATAATTTTCAGTTGAACTCAAATCATCATTATTACATTGACAATGTTTCTAAGGTTTTCCATAAAGAATATAAGCCTGCCATCCACTGTAGCCTTTGCCAATAAAGGCAGAGCTTGAAAAACAGGGGAATTTTTTTTCTGTTAGACATATATCGTCTTACAAATCTACTTTAAACACTTTTGGGACCAGTAAATCAGATATAATACATTTGGGGATAATGGAAATTTTTCTGACTGCAACATAGGAGAAACGAGTTAAAAGGGAATGTCTCCATGCATAGTGCTCCACAGACCGTGAGCTCCTACTCAGAATTTGTTTCATGGTTATCCCTAAAATGGGTTTCCCTCACATTTGGAGCCACAGATAATTCTTAACCAGAACATAAACTCCAGTGTCTGGATTTTGGGGCTAAGTCTAACAATGGTAGGCCAAAATGAGAATATATTTTGTTTCCTCCTTCCTGTCCAATGAATACTGATGTATTCTTGGGGAAGGACAGCCATCAGGGAGCCACAGTGAAGCTGTCATTCAAGCTATGAGCTTGTTCCTTTTTTCTGTAGCCTCTCATGACCCATGAGGAGCCAAGAGGGAAATGACAGGATGAAAAATTCAGAAGGAATCCTCTGGTGCAACCACATTTTTTCACGTTTGTGGTACCAGCATCCCAGAGCAGTCAGGTGATTTGTCTAAGTAACACAACTACTTTGTTGTCAGCACTGGAGCCAAAAGTCAGGTTTCTTGATTTACAGACAAAGCTCTTGGAGAGAATGGCAAAGTACAGCCCCCATTTTCAGCGTGTCCGAGGGACATCCTAGGTATATACCCCATGGTGAAAGATTGAAGTCTTAACTAACTAGGACAGCATAGTAGTGAATCCCTAGTAATTAATCAGATAATACCCAAAGACGACAAATGACTTAAAACGTATCAATAAAGAGCAAAAAACAGTGCTCTGCTTTGTAAAACATGCACTTTAGGCCAAGTGCGGTGGCTCACACCTGTAATCCCAGCACTTTGGGAGGCTGAGGCGGATCGATCACTTGAGGTCAGGAGTTTGAGATCAGCCTGGCCAACATGGTGAAACCCGTTCTCTACTAAAAAGTACAAAAATTAGCTGGGTGTGGTGTTGCATGCCTGTAATCCCAGCTACTCATGATGTGACGCGGGAGAATCCCTTGAACCCGGGAGGCGGAGGTTGCAACGAGCTGAGATCACACCACTGCACTCCAGCCTGGGCAACAGAGCAAGACTCTGTCTCTAACAAAAAAAAAAAAAAAAAGCACTTTAGAAGTAAATCTTCACAGGGTATCTGAAGAATAGGTGAGAAGAGGTGAGTGATCAGGTCAGGATAGAACCTCCTAGCACCTAACATCCTGAGTTCTTACGGCCTACCCTTCCTCTGTGGGTTTCTTTAGAATGCTCGTGCTTTGTAACTGTCTTGAAAAGAACCATTGTGAATGCACCTCACCTGTTTTCACACGCATCTTTTAAGAATGGATGAGATGATATAAGTGAAGTAATTTGAATTCCTTTACCCCTTCCCCCAAAAAAGCTATGTAAATTCATTTTACTTTTAAATAATCTGTCTCATTTACTGTAAGAAACACAAAATCCACAAAATATGAAAGCTAACACCTGCCCTCCATATATCATCTTCCTATGTCTCCCACCACAACCACAAAACTACTTCCAGAGAACTAAATTTTTATTGACAATGGAAATCAAGGTAAACCCTGGAATTTTTCCTATTCCATTCTAACTTTAATGGTTTAGATGACTACAGACATGTTCTCACAGACCCCACATATCTTTGGATCCTCCTGCTAAAGATAGGGTTAGTAAGTGTCCCGTCCTTGGGACATAATTTACTCAGTTGATTAACATACTGGTCTTTGCCAGAACTGGCCTGGCAGATCTAGCTAAACTGGAAGGTTTCCTTTTCTTCCTTTCACATTTGTGTCTTTCTCACAGATTCTCTCTCCATCCAGGAAGAAACCTGTCTAAGCAACATGGTCATTCTTCCCTCAAAGCCACCCTAATAATTGCTCTTCCCAGTGGGAACTGCAAACACCTACTTTTACATGAAGTTCCCACAACGTAATGGTTTCCAAACAATAGTACTACCACTGCTCTTGAAAATAAAAACCCCAGTGAGATCAGGGATGATCTTACCTTCTTAAAATTGTGGTAAAGGTGTTTGTTCACAGGCTAAAGGACCATAGCTCATTCTCTAAGAATTTCACCTGATTCCAACTCTACCACATCTGAGTGGTTTCTTTCTGAGTTTTCTGCCTTCCTAACAATTTTGGGTCTTATTTGATGACACCAACCAAGACCTAATAAGATTTTTCTTGTTCTGTTTCTTCCTGATATGTACTGTTGGTTAGATCAAAGATGAAAAGATTAAAAAGGACAAAGAACCCAAAGAAGAAGTTAAGAGCTTCATGGATCGAAAGAAGGGATTTACAGAAGTTAAGTCGCAGAATGGAGAATTCATGACCCACAAACTTAAACATACTGAGAATACTTTCAGGTAAGAAGTAGCAACTAGTTAATAGTAACTGTGTTCACATGCAAAAAAATTTTAAAATGTCAGTCTTCCCATCCTGTGCTTCCAGACAGAAACGTGCTAAACAGGCAGCATGCTTTTGTTGTGAGGTCATTAGCCATTGTCTTAGAGATACTCAGTCAGCAGGTCCAGTTCTCGTATCACTAACAGAAGACCAGCAGTCACCGCTCAGACAGGGCTTAGTCTGCTTTTCCTATTATTTTGAAAGGCAGATCATGCTTGGCATCCATGTTTTTGTTCACTGACCTTTTGTGAGATGAGTATATTAGAAAACATTATGACTGGGATTCATATCATTCAATGAATCTCTATATGGTCTGACCACCTTCCTAAGAGACCTTTCTCAGTACCATTTTCAAGAATGCGTTTTCTAAAGGTTGTAAATAAATACTGCGTAAGACTAAGATTGTTTTGTGGTGAAATACTTGGGAAACATTGAATTAAGCTAAATTCATCAGATTTCTTTACCACATGACTTTGAAGGCCCTTCATGCTCATTTGCATTGGAAGTCTCTAAGAGGGAGTGAGAGGGTATGGACAGACTGCTCTATTTTATACAGTTTGGAAAAACTCTCTTGTATAGCTTGAGCTTTCCCCTCAACATAACCCCCTACCCCATCAAATTGAAAATCTGGGCAACTGATTATCAGACAGATGAGACCAGTATATTCAGGTAAATCCTCATTTCTAAATACAGTCGAATCCTGAGAGCTCTCTGCCAGTTTTGTAGAAGAACTTGAGGTGCAGACACCGGGCTGGCTACGTGATTCCTGTGCTCCTTCCCCACAAAACACTCCCTCCAACCACTGGGGCCGAATTCCAACCTCTGTTACGTCACTGGTTGCTGTGCCAGATGTGCTGGAGAAGAGTCTTGGGTTCCTGCAATGTGGATTTCCCTGGGCTTGTTCCTTGGCTGCAGCCTTGCCTAGAGACCCTGTTTTTCTGAACACTTCAAATAAGAAAGTCATCAGGCAGGTATGAGGGAGAAATTTGACATGCTCCTCACACCAAAGCCTTTGTAATATTCAAAAGCAGGCGGAGCTACTAGTGATGGACATTTCAATCTCATCCAAGAGGCTAAGGTGGATAAATACAGTTGCCCCAAAACAATTTTTCTATACATAAATTTGAGCAGAAACCTACCCATGTTTATCCAAAGGAGAACCTAAAGCACACAGAAGAAAAGGTGTACGTAAAAGATCTAAATAAAATAATGAAGGTGTAAGAAAGGTAGAATCTATAGATATTACTTGGGATTGCCAAGAGAATAGATATGAAAATTAAGTTTATTGAACATCCATAGAAAATCTACAAAGCAAGTTGATTCAGGTTGGTAAGTTGAGTCTAAAACTTGCTGAAGTGCCTGTAGTTTAATGTTTTAATGCCCTAGAATAGTGTTAGGTTCATGAAAAGTATTCAATGAATATTACCTAATATTATAATTTTTTAATTAATAGTTTAAAATACATATTGTAAGCATAAGGTTCTTTTAAGGTGTAAGTTTTTTGTTAAGAGAAATAACATTGAAAAAAATCTGTCAGTACTGTTTAACAATGAGCATACTTGCCAACAAGCTTCAGTCAAAGCTCAAGTTAATAATTAACATGCCTATTGTGTAGAAATCCAAAAAGCTGGGTAATTTGAAGGAAGGAATAGTCACAAGGGATGGTGACAAGTTAAGTGCTAAGAACCCTTACATGTGACTCTGGCCTTAATTTTTCTATTTTGGACAGGAAAAAAAAAATACCTAGGAACAAGCTGCTACCATATTATTTATTTTTATTTAGCCACCAACATATGTGAGTTTTAGTTTCAATTAGAAGTTCATGCTGACTGAAGCAGAGAAGTACAGTTTTGCTCCATATACATATAAAATGAGAAGAGAGGAAGAGAGTATCAGCCTCTATTTAGATAAGTTTGGTACGTACCAGCTTAACTGAAAACAAGCTGTGTTCTTAATGGTCAAAGGCCTAATACTCATCTTGACTTACACCTAAAGAAGCCAAGGACGGCGCAGGAGAAAGAACTTTATGGAAGAGATTTCCACCTTAAGTGGCACCCTAATGCTGAGGTCGTGCGCATAGGCAGAGGTGGTGTGAACAAAACTTTTGCTCTTATTTTCAGCATAGCTGCTTATGTTTGATTTAATTACTGTTCCCTTTGATATTTGCGTTTTCTTGTAACTCACTTGTTTTCTCTAAAACATGACATAAAAATCTCAATTCAATGAGCAGGATATAGTGATGCAAATTATTACCAAGGGTTTTATAGAAAGTGCAAAATGAAGGGTTTTTTGATTTTTTATTTTTGAAGGTGGGAATTAAAAGATTTTTTCCCGATTATAGAAAAAAAAGTACTCATTATAAAAACGCTCAGAAAATAGAAGAATAAAAATAAGCACTCACCACCACCCAAAGATAACCACCAGTAACACTTTTTCCAGATATTTATCTATGTGTATACTATTCAAGATAAACGCATACCTGTGTTTATTTATACGTAGTATATACATGTGTGTGAGTATACTTACAATTTTACATTGATTCTTGCACTGTGCATAAGAATGTATCATAGCTTGCTTTCTATGCCAATAAATATAAGCCTGTAATTAATGATACTAGATTCCACTGGATGGATGTATTATTACTTATTCAGCCAGTCCTTAATGACGGACATATTGATTGTCCAAAATGAAGACTGAGCGACACCTAGTGGAATCCATAGATGTTTCCATAGGCATGTGTTTTGCCGGTTCAGTTCCTGTACAGTAATATGATGAACACAAAGAGAGAGCAAACTCATTTTTGAAAGGAAAGACCCTAAATTGACTGAGAGAGAAGTCACAGGCCTGTGAACCTAGAGGAGCCTGAAAGAGCCTTTGATGACAAGGTTTTGAGGGACCCTTTAACCTTGTTTGAGTTCAAAATAAAAGTTACTTGTAACCGACAAGAGCCTAGGCCAATAGTTCTAAATTTTTTTTTTTTTTTTTTTTTTGAGACGGAGTCTCGCTTTGTCGCCCAGGCTGGAGTGCAGTGGCCGGATCTCAGCTCACTGCAAGCTCCGCCTCCCAGGTTTATGCCTTTCTCCTGCCTCAGCCTCCCGAGTAGCTGGGACTACAGGCGCCCGCCACCACGCCCGCCTAGTTTTTTGCATTTTTTTTAGTAGAGACGGGGTTTCACCAGGTTAGCCAGGATGGTCTTGATCTCCTGACCTCGCGATCCGCCCGTCTCGGCCTCCCAAAGTTAGTTCTAAATTTTTTAACCTAAGCCCTTAGTAAGAAATAAATTTTACATAATGACCCAGTACACGCCTGTATATGTTTTCATAACTGAAACAAGTGTGTCAAGAAACGGTAGTTTCTTTTGCTCTATGCAGTGCACTCCGATATTTTCTGTTTCTTTTTTTTTAAATGTTGATTACAAACTACTAAATTGACTTTCCGGTCTGCAGCTTGAAAATTATTATTCTGGAGGACACAGTATATTCAGAACTACTTCAGTGTTTAAAAAGCATGATATATAATATACATATATATTATAAAATCAATATTGCACAGTGTATTTCTTGAGACCATTTCTTGTTTTATTCTTTCTCTTGTTCCACAGCTAGAAATACTGTGCCATTCTTTAAATGTAGTACATGATATTAGGGTGTGGTAATTCTTTTGTTTCTTAGACAAAAATGTCAGGAATAGGATATCTACGTTCACATCTAGTTAAGAATGACCTTACTACTTGCTAATAAGTATTTAAATGGCAAAGCTGTATCTCTGCCTCTTAAAGACTACTTATAACAAGGGCCTTTAAGCCTAAATTAAGCCACTAAATTCTGCTTAGTGAAGCCCCAGGCAAATCCAACTTAGGTGAATTCCGTGTTAGTGAAAATGCTGTATTCCACTGAAGTCCTACTTTGAGTATCAGCATGTTTTAAAATTATCAGTGTTCTAACTGTATCATATAACAAATTTATTAAAGAAACTCAGGGTCACAGTAGGTGCTAATGATGTGTCTCCATCCTTTTATAGATGTGTAAAATACTAAAAATACCGGTTCTGAAATAAAATTTTACCATAAGGACTCTTGGGATAGCATTCTGTCTTAAGTCTTAACATGTTCCCAGTTCTGCAATGCAGTCCCTGTGTATCCTCCTTAATCACAAAATAAAATTCAACATAATTTCAATTTTAATTCTTATTAATATAAAAACGTACCCATTTTCCTTCTGTTTTATAAGCTGTTCTATCTGATGAAGCATTGCTTCTGCTCAGGCACGGAAGGTAGCTAGACCTAGACTGTAGAAACTCTAGAGACAGAGTTTGGAAAGGTTTCTCTGAGACTCTATCCTCAAGGTTTGAGGTGAGAGGTGGAGAGATAGGCTAACATGTTCTATTTCAGTTTATTCATTGTTTCATAACAAAACATATTTAATTTCAGGTATAATTATAGTGACAAGAAGAGTACAACTAAGAGATAAGCATTAGAATCTGATCATGGCTCAACTGCTTTCTAGCTACCAAAAGTTTGAGTATACTATTCTCTCTCTTACCTGTGATTTCCTTGTTTGTAAGATGGGGATAATAAACCTAACCTGACATCTTCCCAGTTATTGTGACTGTTAAATGAAGTAGTGGATATGAAAAGGGTTTAGAAAGCATAAAGAATGACATGTAAGTAATAACCATGTCATACCAAGCTAATTTCATAATTTTAAGTCTGTATAAGGAGTATTCCAGTTGTGTTGGGGTCAAAGAGCATAGAAAATAGACAAATTGCAGCCGTAGGTTAATGCAGTCACGAAGGACTTTCCTGGAGCAGCTCTGTAAGAATAGACATGCATCACTGTGTTTAGCTCTTAATCAAGAGGCAATGGGTAATTTCATCTGCCAGAGATCAGCTGCTAGAGTCAAGCTCAAGACAAAGTTGTGGATAGATGGATTTACTTCAGTGCCTCTGCTTAATTCAGCCACTTTTTCCCATTTGCAGTGCCTGAACCTTTGTGTCTTCCCTCCTGATCCATTACTCCAGGCAGACCCAAGTTAACCAGTAACTTATGGGAAAGGACTAGTAAGGCCACTAGGAGACTTTTGAACTCATTCACAAGTAACGTTTTGCACTACATGCCTTCCTTTCTAATAACAACTAATATTTATACTGTAGATGATATATAAATCATAGTATATCAGTATGATATCTATCATATTGATATAATACATAATCCCATGCAACTCGCAGAGGTAAATAGAATAAATAGTATTTGCCCCATTTTTCCATGTTGTAGCATGTATCTTTTTTTAAAACTGTGGTAAAAACAAACATAACCTAAAATTTACCATCTTAAGCATTTTTAAATGTACAGTTAAGTAGTGTCAGGCATACAGATCTCCAAAACTCTTTTCATCTTGCAAGACTGAAAGATGACACCCATTAAACAACAACTCTATTTCCTACCACCACCCACGCTCTGCCTCTGGTAACTACAGTTCTATTTCTGTCTCTATGAATTTGACTACTTTAGATCCCTCATATACGTGGACTCACACAGTATTTGTATGATTTCTGTGACTGGCTTATTTCACTTAGCATAATATCTTCAAGATTTATCCACGTCATAACAGGTAACAAGATCTCCTTCGTTTTTATTTATTTATTTATTTATTATTTATTTATTTATTGAGACGGAGTCTTGCTCAGTCACCCAGGCTGGAGTGCGGTGGCGCGATCTCGGCTCACTGCAAGCTCCGCCTCCCGGATTCTCGCCATTCTCCTGCCTCAGCCTCCCGAGTAGCTGGGACTACAGGCGCCCGCTACTACGCCCGGCTAGTTTTTTGTATTTTTAGTAGAGACGGGGTTTCACCGTGTTAGACAGGATGGTCTCGATCTCCCGACCTCGTGATCCGCCCGTCTCGGCCTCCCAAAGTGCTGGGATTACAGGCTTGAGCCACCGCGCCCGGCCTCGATCTCCTTCCTTTTTAAGTCTGAATAATATTCCATGGAACGGCTGGCCCACCTTTTATTTATCCACTCCTGCCATGATGGACACTTGGGTTGCGTCAGTCTCTTGGTCCTTGTAAATAGTGCTGCTGTGAACACGGGTATACAAATATCTCTTCAAGACCCTGCTTTCCATTCTTCTAGATGTGTATCAGAAGTGGGATTGCTGGATCACGTGGTAGTTCTCTTGTTGATTTTTTGAGGAACCTCCATACTGTTTCCATAGCAGCTGCACAACTTTACAATCCCATTTTGCGGTGCATATTTGTCCCATTTTACAGCTGAGGAAACGAAGCGCAAGTGGCAGAGCAGAGGCTCCCATTCAGACTCTGTGATTCCAGGCAGATCCCTTCCCCAGCCTACCCCTTGGGCAGTGGGGATTTGGTCTGGGATGCAAAAGCCGCAGACCGACCTCCCGTTCCTCCAGGGAGACTACAGGCAAAAGCATGTAAACCCCTTTCCATTGCCCCCAAACCACAGCCGCCCTGGAGGGAGGGCCAGCGTGGACACCAAGGAGGCTGAAGGCGCCCCCCAGGTGGAAGCCGGCAAAAGGCTGGAGGAGCTTCGTCGTCGTCGCGGGGAGACCGAGAGCGAAGAGTTTGAGAAGCTCAAACAGAAGCAGCAGGAGGCGGCTTTGGAGCTAGAGGAACTCAAGAAAAAGAGGGAAGAGAGAAGGAAGGTCCTGGAGGAGGAAGAGCAGAGGAGGAAGCAGGAGGAAGCCGATCGAAAACTCAGAGAGGAGGTAAGGTGGGCGCTAGCCCCCTGAGAACGTTGCACGAGAAAATTCCCTGGTGCCATGCGGCTGCTCTTTTGAGCATGGGCTCTCAAAAATATTTTTTAAGAATAATAAACTTAACATGTGCTAGTTACGGTTCTAAAACTTGTAGACATATTAATTTGTCCACTGCTTCTAAGAACTCGCTGACGTGGGTACTTATCCCCATTTTACAGATGAGAAAACTGAGGCACAGAGAAGTTTGTTGTTTGTTTGTTTCTTGGTTTTGTAATTTTCCCGAGGTCTCCCTTGTGTTAACCCATTACCCTTTATTGCCTCTCAAAAGGGAAAAGTTAGAAAGCTGAGAAGGATGAAAGGTCTGCAAATTAGTTACCAGAATGAAGTTATGAGATACTTCTTTTCTAATAGTTGGAGAGTTTTTATAGAGAAGATTTTATTTATTTATTTATTTATTTTAATGAGCAAGTAAGTACATTAGCATGTAAATAGGCAGGGACAGTATCTGCATTGTTCATTACTGTGTACCCAGGACCCCATACCCGTGCCTGACATGCAGGAGGAACCCCATCATTATAAACAGATGAATTTGTTTCATCTTTTAAGACAGAGCTAAAAACAGCAGATAAAGTTACAAGGAGGAACATTTTGGCTCAGCATATGAAATAATGTGTAACCAACTACAACTTACAGTACTACAGGTTACAAAGTGCATTCTTTCCTTTCATCCTGAGGTATGTTGTTCTCATTTTATGGGCAAAGAAACCAGGAATCAAATAGTTTGAGTGACTTATTTGAAGATTGTTGACTAATAAATGGTAGAATCAGTATGGAGACCCTGCTTTTCCAACTCAGAGCCTAGAGCTTTTGAAATAGCGATCTTCCATCATTCAAAATATGAAAGGAAAAAAAAAAACTTTCAATGGCATTTTGACATGGATCCTATGCAAAATTTTCTGGAACTGTACGGAAAATTTGGATACATTATTTTGAGGTCTCTTGTAACTCCAACTTTCAATGAGCCAATTACCTTTGGTTGGGAAGTAATCAGGATGATAGAGTTTTGGAGTTACACACACCCAGGTTTCTTTTTTTTTCTTCTTCTTTTTTTTTTTTTTAGATGGAGTCTGGCTCTGTCACCCAGGCTGGAGTGCAGTGGTGCAATCTCGGAACACACCCAGTCTTCTAACTCTGCCACTAACAAGCTAGGGCCTTGGGAAATTTGGACTACTCTGTGTCTTTTCCTTCCTACTTTGCAGGATTCTTCCAATAATTTAATAGATCATTGTGCTCCCAGTGCCTAGCACATTCTAGGCACTCAAAAATCGGTAGATATCATTATTGCCATCATTGTTATTATGATTATTATTCAGAGGAGGAGAGTATCAGGAAAGGCTGAAGGGAAATCGTGAAGTCTTAGAACTGGATTGGACCTAGGAGATTATTTGGGCTAAACTACGAAACACAGGATCCTTCTATGGCATCCTTTAACAGAAGAACATCTAGTTGCTGCTTGAGAACATGCAGTGATAATGATCTCACAGTTTAAGAACTACCAAAGACTACATAAATCTCTCAGAAAATCAAGCTGTGCAACTTGATCAGAGCCCTGAATTGTTTGTCTGATAGAGAAGACAGAGTATTCTAGACTAGGAATGAAGACACAGAGGGGTTAATGAGACAGTCTGTAAACATTTACGTTTGCACCACTATGGTGCAGTGTCTACAGTATTTCAGGTTTGTCAAACCATCTAAAATTATATATTCACCTGAAGTGGGGAGCAAGCATAAAATCACCTCTTATACTATCTGGCAAATATAGTACCGCAGATTTAGATAGCTTTTCACATAAGTTATTTATTTGTCTTCACAACACAACTCTCCTAGGATGTAGGTAGAAGGAATATTCATATTCCTTTTACATATACAGAAGTGTGAGGTCATTGTTAATGACCCACAGGACAGTGGTGATTATGTGTCGCCCTATGGGAAATCACCATAATGAGTGTTAGTCTAAGCCAGGGGTGTCCGCTCTTTTGGCTTCCCTGGGTCACATTGGAAGAAGAAGAATTGCCTTGGGCGACACATAAAATACACTAATACTAATGATCGCTGATGAGCTGAAAAAACAAAACAAAACAAAAAACAAAGATGTCTCATAATGTTTTAAGAAAGTTTACGAATTCGTTGGGCCACATTCAAAGCCATCCTGGGCATCATGTGGCCCCTGGGCTGTGGGTTGGACAAGCTTGGTCTAAGCATTTTACATGTGCTTTCTCACTGAGTCCTCACAAAAGCCCTATAAAATGAGTACTATTGTTATCCCTGTTTTACAGATGAAGAAATGAGCCACAGAGCAGATAAATAACATGGCCAAGGTCAGGCCGTTGGAAAGTAGCACCACCAGAATGCAAATACAGGCAGCTCGACTCCAGCTCTCAGGCTAAACCTCTGGTGACCACCTAGAAGGGGAGTGTCCAGCCTGCGGCCTGAGTCTGCTGCTTCTCCTGACTGTGCTCTCTCTCCTACAGCACTCTTCCCTTTGGCTGTGAAGCTGGTACTGATGCCTCGTTATTTGTTCTTTCTCTCTTAGGAAGAGAAGAGGAGGCTAAAGGAAGAAATTGAAAGGCGAAGAGCAGAAGCTGCTGAGAAACGCCAGAAGATGCCAGAAGATGGCTTGTCAGACGACAAGAAACCATTCAAGTGTTTCACTCCTAAAGGTTCATCTCTCAAGGTATTTTTTTTTCCCCCAGAAAACCTCTATTAGAATATGATAGAAACTGGATTTTAGCCCCTTGTTTAGTTATTGATTATTCAGGGCCTTTGCTTCATTTATCTTTTTGCTATCCTTCCATGTTAATCTGTTCAGGCTGCTATAACAAAATACTTTAGACTGGGGCCAGGTGCGGTGGCTCATGCCTGTAATCCTAGCACTTTGGGGGGCCAATGTGGGCAGATCACCTGAGGTCAGGAGTTCGAGACCAGCCTGGCCAACATGGTGAAACCCCACCTCCACCAAAAAATTCAAAAATTAGCCGGACGTGGTGGCACGCACCTATAATGATCCCAGCTACTTGGAAGGCTTAGGCAGGAGAATCACTTGAACCCAGGAGGTGGAGGTTGCAGTGAGCCGAGATCATACCACTACACTCCAGCCTGGGCAACAGAGCAAGACTCTGTCTCAAAATTTATCACTCACAGTTCTGGAGGCTGGGAAGTCAAAGATCAAGGTGCCAGCAGATGTGGTGTCTAGTGAGGGCCTATTCCTCAAAGACAGCACCTTCTCCCTGTGTCTTCACATGGTGGAAGGAGAAGGGGAGAAAACAGGCTCCCTTAGGCCTCTTTTATAAGGGCACTAGTCCCATTCACAGGGGCCCCACCCTCATTACCCAGTTACCAACCAAAGGTCTTGCCTCTTGGTACCAACACATCAAGGATTCAGTTTCAACATATAAATGTTGGACCATAGCACCTCCTTTCAGCTGTTTCACAGCTTCTCTTTGTTTACAACATATGGAAAGGAGAGACAGTAGTGAAATTTTTAATCTGTTATTTATTACATGCTTTGGCATACATTAAAATGACATTCGGTGATTATCTCTGAATTTTACTGATCCACATTCTCCATGTACCTCATTCCTCTGAGCAACTGAGAATAGAAACATTTAAAATTTATAAAATGGGAAAGTATATTTTAAAAGTTTAAGCTGCTTTTCATGCTAGCTGTTCATTTCTTCTTTGTCATGATTAAAAGCCAGCTGGAAACGATACAGGTGCAAATTTTAAAGCAATTATTATGGGAGGAGGTGAAATGTGACTTGGAGAGGGTCCTTTTCCAGGATGGCTTTGGTCCTATGACAGCCTTCAGGGAACACAGCTCCTATTTGATGTAAAACAGAGTGCTGCCAGGACAACAGAGAAGGAGCAGGAATCAGCTGAGTCAGGTAGATGATAGAATAGTTGAGATGTAGGGAAAACACAGTGGACTCAAGAAAGTAGCATCCTTGATTTAATATCAGTCCACCATTATTGCCAGTGGTGATTTCTTTGAGGATTAACATCACTGAGCATCTAGCACAGTGCTTTACATCATATTGAAGATACTTAATAAAAATTTGTTAAATGATGAATAAATGAATGAATCTTCAGAGATTGGAACCTTTAACATTTCATTTTCCATCAACCTAGCTAGGTTATAAAGCATCAACAATGGGCAAAGCCATGATAGAATTATGCCCAGGTCTGGCCAGGCACAGTGGCTCACACCTGTGATCCTAGCACTTTGGGAGGCTGAGGCAGGTGGATCACCTGAGATCAGGAGTTCTAGACCATCCTGGCCAACCTGGTGAAACCCCATCTCTACTAAAAACACAAAAATTAGCTAGGCATGGTGGTGCACACCTGTAATCCCAGCTATTTGGGAGGCTGAGGCAGGAGAACCACTTGAACTTGGGAGGCAGAGGTTACAGTGAGCTGAGATAGTGCCACTGCACTCCAGTCTATGCAAAAGAATGAGACCCTGTCTCTAAAAAAACAAAAAAGGAATCATAGCAAGGTCTGGATGGTTAATTATGTACATATGTATAAGGTTATATCAAGTGGCACACCAAAATGACCAAAAGCTGCTTACATTTTACAGTTATTACTTGTTCCACATGAAAATAAGAATTTTTAAATCCCCAAATAACTTCACTTAGTCTTTTTTTTTTTTTTTTTTTTTTGAGATGGAGTCTCGCCCTGTAGCCCAGGCTGGAGTGCAGTGGCATGATCTTGGCTTACTGCAACTTTCACCTCCCAGGTTCAAGCAATTCTTCTGTCTCAGCCTCTCAAGTAGCTGGGAGTACAGGCGCACGCCACCACCGCATCCGGCTAATTTTTGTATTTTTAGTAGAGATGGGGATTTCACCATATTGGCCAGGCTGGTCTCGAACTCCTGACCTCATGATCTGCCCACCTTGGCCTCCCAAAGTGCTTGGATTACAGGTGTGAGCCACCGTGCCCAGCTTACTTAATCTTTATGATGGTCTGGGTCCCAGTCATATTTCTGATACCTCCCAAATTATTTGTACTCAAACCCTTGTCTCAAGATCTGCTTCAGGGAAAATTGAAACTCAGCCACAGAGGAATTATACATTTAATATCTGATTATTTATGAAATACTTAATGCATGCTATGTCCTATGAGGGAAAGAACAAAGCAAGGTGGCTGCCCTGATGGCACTAATGACTGCCTCAAAGAAACAATTCAAGAAGTACTAAGGTGACCAAATGCTGATCTCAGAGCAGAGCAAAATGAGTAGAGAAAGGCCTTGTGGAGTAGGCAAGCTTTATTTATAAACACTGAAATTTGAATTTTATGTAATTTTATTGTGATTTTCTAATGTCATGAAATACTCTTCTTCTTTTGATTTTTTTTAACCATTTAACAATGTGAAAACCATTCTCAAGGCCAGGTGCGGTGGCTCACACCTGTAATCCCAGCATGTTGGGAGTCCGAGGCAGGTGTATCACCTGAGGTCAGGAGTTTGAAACCAGCCTGGTCAACATGGAGAAACCCCATCTCTACTAAAAATACAAAATTAGCTAGGCGAAGTGGCAGGTGCCTATAATTCCAGCTACTCAGGAGGCTGAGACAGGAGAATCACTTGAATCTGGGAGGTGGAGGTTGCAGTGACTGAGATTGCACCACTGCACTCCAGTCTGGGCGACAGAGCGAGACTCCATCTCAAAAAAAAAAAAAAAAAAAAAAATTTCAAGTTGGTGGCTGTGTGTGGAAAACACAGGCTGCACTTGGCCCATGGACAAATGGGCCATGGCTTGCAGACCCCCTGCTCTAGAAAACAAAACCTCCCTGGGCTCAGGCTATCTCTGTACAGCTCTCAGAGTTCAGCCCATTCCCAGTCTAGGTCTTCTGTTCCTGACTCAACAGTAGTCAAAGAAAACCATGCTCTCAACTGGGCAAGGTGGCTTACGCCTGTAATCCCAGCACTTCGGAAGGTCAAGGCAGGTGGATCACCTGAGGTCAGGAGTTTGAGACCAGCCTGACCAACATGAAGAAACCCCGTCTCTACTAAAAATACAAAATTAGCTGGGCACAGTGGCGCATGCCTGTAATCCCAGCTACTTGAGAGACTGAGGCAGAAGACCTGCTTGAACCTGGGAGGCAGAGGTTGTGGTGAGCCGAGATCAGGCCATTGTACTCCAGCGTGGGCAACAATCGCAAAACTCCATCTCCAAAAACAAAAAAGAAGAAAGAAAAAGAAAACCATGCTCTCTCTTTCTACCTTCTTTAAAATCCCGCTCAAGCCTTCCTTGAACAGTCTTGGTAACATGAAGAAAATAGTAGTCATTTAGACTTCTAAATTCTACTGTGGTTTTTTTTTTTTTTTTCAGGAGAAACTATAACCCACCCTTCCCACCTCTTTAATTATTTCCTCTCTACCAAATTTCTCAACTTACTTATTTCTCTGGTCTTTCCCTCAACCAAATGCTGACTTCCTATTTTATCTAGTGCCCCCAGGAAGCCATTTATCTACTCCCTCTGGTGGAGAGGCATTTGTCTGCAGTTGATTAAAGTAGATGTATAAAAAAGGTCCAGAATATTTTAAATTTCTACATAAGAGAGACACATATTCAGGGGCAGACAGTCTATGCTTCCCTCCATATATGTGCCTTGAAGAACCTGCTGTGACTCTGATTTTCAAGCTCAATTTCATATTCTACAACTTAATTGGGATAGCTATTAATGCCCTTAGCCCTGCAGCTTTTATAAGTGGTTACAAGTTAGCATTGTAGAATACCAACAGGAGGAAAAATATTTGCTATTTGACATCAAAATACTGTCAACTAGTATTTTTTTAAAAAATATCTCATGATTTCTATTCCTTGTTTGGGAAAGTCTGTACCTGGTTTTTCATCATTAAATTATGTTAGCAGTGAGTGATTTTCATATGTAATGAATAGATTTTAAGTAAATTCAATTCAAAGATTTTTTTATTTCTATTGCCTTCATTGGTTGGGGGTAGGGTGTGGAGTAATGAGAGCACCAATTTTCTAAAACAAATAGTGTGCTTTTATTCGAGTTTTATCGAGACAATACTGCCACCTCTTGGTCTTCAGAAGAACCAATTTCCCTCATTAAACTCCTTAAACAGAACATTTAATATACAAATTCAGTACAAATTGTTAAATTACATAGAGCCACTAAGTTAGGATATTTTCTAACAGGAGCGCATCAGTAAACCAACAGTGCATCCTGACAAAATGTGTGGAATGCGATGATGAAGTCAAGCTATGTTAGCTATGATAGAAGCAAAAGGAGGAGTAGGAATCTGAGAACCTCCGTGATTTGAATAAATGCCAGGGCTAAGGTTAGAAAGATGATCCCTGAGTCATAAAGATGCTGCAGGTGGGACAAAGAACAATTCTCACCTCCGCTATCCCCTTCTGCGGTGCCTCTGTCCTCCCACCACACTGAATTTTTCTTTATCCTTCAGTCTCACCACGCTGCGTGCCTTATGGCTCTCCAAATCTTTGTACATGTGCTTGCTTTGCCAGAAATGCCCTTTCCTGGCTAAGCCATGCACTTCCTTCCTCACTTTCATAAACTCATTTCTGAAACTGTGTAAACCAGAAACTACTAATCTCAGCTCAAATATCAACACTACTGAAAAGCCTTCTCCAACTCCCCCAGATAGTTACTTCTCTTATACACACAGCATTTTTTTCTTTACTATTGTACCTGCTGTTAATTTTTAAATATTTTATTTTATATACTGTATTAGTCTTCCCTACTAAATTCTGTGTTCCTTAAAGAATAAGACCTTGTCAGCCGGGCACAGTGGTTCACGCCTGTAATCCCAGCACTTTGGGAGGCCGAGGTGGGCAGATCACGAGGTGAAGAGATCGAGACCATCCTGGCCAACATGGTGACCAAAAATTAGCTGGGCGTGGTAGCACGCATCTGTAGTCCCAGCTACTCGAGGCTGAGGCAGAAGAATCACTTGAACCCAGGAGGCAGAGGTTGCAATGAGCCAAGATTCTACCACTGCACTCCAGCCTGGCAACAGAGTGAGACTCTGTCTCAAAAAAGAAAAAGAATAAGACCTTGTCTATCTTAGTTTACTCAGGTTGCCATAACAAAATACCATAGACTGGATGTATTAAACACTAGAAATGTATCTCTCACAGTCCTGGAGGCTGGAAGTCCAAGATCAAGGTGCGAGCAGATTCAGTTTCTGATGAGAGCCCTCTTCATGGCTTGCAGATGGCTGCCTTCTGACTGTGTCTTCACATGGTGGAAGGAGAGCGGGTGCACTCTCTAGTGTCTCTTCTTGTAGTGATAATAATCCTGTAGGATCAGAGTTCCACTGCTGTGATCTCATTTAACCTTAATTACTTCCTTAGAGGCCCCATTTCCAAGTACAATCACATCGGGGGTTAGGGCCTCAACACATGCTTTTTAGGGGGACACAATTTGATCAATAGCACTATTCTATTTATTAGTATTCAATTTTATATAGAAGGTACTCAATATATAATATATTGGCTAATTGGCTGACAGGCTGTCAGGGATAAAAATAGGATAGGTGGGTGGGTGGGTGGGTGGATGGATGGATGGATGGATGGATGGATGGATGGATGGATGGACAGACGGATGGACGGATGGGTAATATTTATTAAAAGTGCCAGTGCATTGCATGGTTCTAAACTATTTCACCTTACTCACCTTGGAATTTTTTCTACAGAAATATAATTCTAAGTTTATAATTAAAATCAGAAAAATAAGATTACTTTATAGATTTTTTATATATCCCATAAACTCAGCACTACTTATAGTACTTTTTTGCATAAAGGTTTTTAAGTAAGAGTTTGCTTTTGTCTTTGTAGGAAATCATCAGAAAGAATGAAATGCTCTTACTAATATCTATAAAAGTGCTATTCAACTGATATTAGAGAGGAAGCATGTTTTCAAAAGAAAAACTCTGTGATACTTATTAATTGCTCATGAATCCCAGACCAGTCTGGGTCAGAAAGAACCCCTCACATCTTGGAGAATTGTGTGTATCCCCTCAAAATTCATATGTTGAAATCCTAACCTTCAATAAGATGGTATTAGAAGGTGGGACTTTTGGAAAACAATTAGGTCATGAGGGTGGAGGCCCCCTTAATGGGATTAGTGCCCTTTTAAGAAGAGACACAGAACCTTACTTGCTCCCTTTCTATTCTGTGCTATATGAGGACACAGCAGGAAGGTGGCCATCTGCAAACCATGAAGAGAGCTCTCAGCAGACCCCAACCATGCTGGCAACCTAATCTTAGACTTCCCAGTCTTCGGAACTGTGAGAAATGCTTGTTGTTTTAAATCATCCAGTCTATGGTAATTTCTCATATTAACCGAGACTCACTGAGACAAGGGGCCACTCAAACATACTAGCCTAGGGCAATTATAATCTAGTAGATTTCTTGACTGTCCTGAACAGGGAACAAAATGAAACTTTTCAGCGTGCCTGTGCTTTGGCACATGCAGTCATAAGCAAAGAAGGTATTTGCTCATGGTATTGATAAGTCATGGGTGGCAGAGGATATTTCTAGTCTGGAGTTGGCTGTGGCATGGATTCAACAAATATTTGCTTATGGCCACCATCTAAATTTAAGTGATACAGTTTCAGTAAAATATAATGTTTGATTTAGCAGCTTCGGTTGTAGCAAAAAGTTCCTAGCTTAAAAAAAAAAAAAAAAAAAAAAGAATTCATCAAAGACTACTGAACTGCTGATTTTTTCTATGTCCACCCCTGTTTCTCTGGGCTTGTTTCCTAATTTCACACTTGGGTTAAGAGGGGCTTTGTGGGAAGCCTCAGCCATTACAGATGAGCTGTGCCCCATCCTCATTCTACCTGCATCCCATCTTTTACGTTCCACGGCTAATGAAGTTCAACAATAGGCTTGATCATTGACCCTTGTCAAGGTAGGAAATCAGGTTAAGCAATAAGGGACTAGTTCACATTTTCTAGTTATTCAATCCTGTTACATACCAAATACATAGTTAAAACATTGTGGGAAAATTTTGTTAACTCAAATAGCATGGTATGTCTCTAATAAATACATCCTAAAGGGTAACAGTGTGTATTTTTGAAAAAATTATTTAAGTTTGTTGTTGTTTTGTTTGTTTTGAGACAGATGCTCATTCTGTCACCCGGGCTGGAGTGCAGTGGCACAGTCTTGGCTAACTGCAATCTCTCCCTCCCAGGTTCAAGCAATTCTCCCATCTCAGCCTCTCAAGTAGCTGGGGCTACAGGCACATGCCACCACATCCAGTTAATTTTTGTATTTTTTAGTAGAGATAGGGTTTCCCCTTGTTGACCAGGCTGGTCTTGAACTCCTGACCTCAAGTGTTATTTGCCTGCCTTGATCTCTCAAAGTGCTAGGATTATAGGTGTGAGCCTCAGTGCCCAACCAATTATGTTAGTCTTAAAATTCAATTATTTTGCCACTGATTTATATGGTTTTAGAGGCATTTTTTATTCCATTTCTGTCTGGTCTTTACTTTGCCTTGAAAACTTGATATTTTTTTTTACACATTTTCTCTATCCTGTATCAATCCTACCTTCATTCCCCCAAATCTCACTACCAAATACCTTATATGTAGTTTTGCTTTCTAGCAGATCTATGCACAGTAACTCAAATACCCTTATATGCTCTTTGGTGTTTATTTAACAGGTTCAGGGATGATATTGGCCTGGGCTGAGAAACACTGCTTATAAGCTTGAAATATTAATTGGGTTTATTTTCTTTTGCAATTCCTAGATAGAAGAGCGAGCAGAATTTTTGAATAAGTCTGTGCAGAAAAGGTAAATATGGTTGATGGTTCAGTTGAACTAATCAGCTAGCATATGTATGGGAAGATTCTCTCTCATATTTTTATATGTATGTGTTTACTTTTTTAGCAGTGGTGTCAAATCGACCCATCAAGCAGCAGTAGTCTCCAAGATTGACAGCAGACTGGAGCAGTATACCAGTGCAATTGAGGTGAGAATTGTCCTCAGCGTTATAATCCCGGTGAACAGAAATAGATTCTGACTACACAGAAGATCATAAAAACACTTAGGACAATAATCAAGTCCAATAGCCCTAGGAGTGTTAGAATTTTTTTTTTTTTTTTTTTTTTTTTTTTTTTTTTGAGATGGAATCTCACTCTGATGCCCAGGCTGGAGTGCAGTGGCAAACTTGGCTCACGGCAACCTCCGCCTCCCAGGGTCAAGCAATTCTTCTGCCTCAACCTCCCAAGTAGCTGGGATTACAGGGGCCCACCACCACACTTGGCTAATTTTTGTATTTTTAGTAGAGACAGAGTTTTACCCTGTTGGCCAGGCTGGTCTCGAACTCCTGACCTCAAGTGATCCGCCCGCCTTGGCGTCCCAAAGCCGAATGTGAGCCATCACACCCGGCCCTCGATAGTGTTAGATTTATTACACTTTGAAATTCTAAGTTCTAAGAAATACAGTAATAAAGATAAATTTTAGAGGAGTTTTAAATAAATTACTTTCTACTTTCAGCCTGAATATTGTTTAATGAAAACGTCCCAAAGCCGAATGATTTATTACACTTTGAAATTCTAAGTTCTAAGAAATATGGTAATAAAGATAAATTTTAGAAGAGTTTTAAATAAATTACTTTCTACTTTCAGCCTGAATATTGTTTAATGAAAACGGTTTTTTTTAAACAAATGGGTTTATTGGTATTTATATATATAAATATGTTCTTTTTTGTTTTTGTTTTTGTTTTTTGAGGCGGAGTTTTACTCTTTTTGCCCAGGCTGGAGTACAATGGCGCCATCTCGGCTCACTGCAACCTCCACCTCCCGGATTCAAGTGATTCTCCTGCCTCAGGCTCCTGAGTAGCTGTCATTATAGGTGCCCATGACCACGCCCAGCTAATTTTTGTTTGTTTGTATTTTTAGTAGAGACAGAGTTTTGCCATATTGGCCAGGCTGGTCTCAAACTCCTGACCTCAGGTGATATGCCCTCCTCAGCCTCCCAAAATGATGGGGTTACAGGCATGAGCCACCGTGCCCGGCCAGTATTTAACTATATTTTTTATACATTCACATGTATATTTTCAATATCCCTAATTCCTTATAAAATATGTTCCCATATGGGGTTTGAATAGGTCTCTCACAATCTTACTTAATCCTCTGTTTATAAAAACCTTTTATTATCAAATAAAAATAGTACAATGTAATATAAAGATGATAGCCAACCCAAGTTTAATCATCATCAATTTCAAACTGATTGTTTTATATTTGAAGGACACAGTTTTATGTGTCTATCTACTCCACCTTTTTTCCCCCACCCAACTGACCTGGGGGTTTTATTCTATTTGGAAATGTGTATTTCCCAATACCAAAGCGCCAAGACGGAAGGTGTCATTGATCAAGATGTGATCCTGCTTTTTTCTCCTTTGTGTAGACTTTAGTCAATGGTTTTAGCCTCTTGCACATCAGAGCACCTGCTATGAAGTAATTGGATCAGTTTGATTTTATTTTTTCTTCTTCTTTATATTGTAGAGTGGAGATACACATATAATAGTTTACAGATGATATGAGGGAATAAGAAAGAGAGGCATCCGATGATTTATCAAAGGAATAGTCAAGTCCTAACACTAAAGATGTGATTTACAAGACTAAATGTCCACTAAAATATAAAACAGATTGCAGATCTTTATTTTCTGTGATTGAGTTGGTCATAGCACTAATAGGTGTAATGAAAACAAGACTGGAGCTTTAAACTTTGCATAGTCCAGTGAGATCATTCTTTATGCCATGGCCCCTCATAATGGTACCACTCATCCTGGCTGTGCCTTCTTGAACATAGGCACAGGCCACAGGGCAGGACTGGAGGAGAAACTCGAGCCATTTGGGGTGTGGCCTTCATTACTGCTGGCAGAGTGTCTTGAATACACTTCTTTCTTACTTACATTCATTCTTTCCTCCTTCTAATATATTTCCCATGCAGGGGTATCTCTTTCAGCACTTTCCTGCCTCAGGAGTTTTGCACATGCTGTTACCTCTGCATGGAATGGAGTTTGCTGCTCCTGTTTACTTCGCCACTTTCAAGTCTTCTGTCAGATCTGGTTTAAAATGTCACTTCCTCAGAGTAACCTTCTTTGCACCCCCAAACTAAGTACTGCCCCCTGATTGTGTGCCATGCTTTATGGCACATCATTATTTTTCATAGCACTTGGCACAATGTGAAATAAATACTTGTATAACTAGTTACTATCTTTCCTTTCTATTAAAATATAAGCCCACTGCAGCTGTCTTCTTGTTTTCTGTTTGTTTGTTTGTTGGTTTTTGTATTTTATTGATTTATTTATTTATTTTGACACGGAGTTTCGCTCTTGTTGCCCAAGCTGGAGTGCAATGGTGCGATCTCGGCTCACTGCAACCTCTGCATTCCAGGTTCAAGCGATTCTCCTGCCTCAGCCTCCCAACTGTCTTGTTTTGAGCACCATTGTATCCCCAGAGCCTAGCAAAGTGCCCTTCATACAGTAGGCATTTAAGAAGTATTGTTGAGGCCAGGTGTGGTGACTCATGCCTGTAGTCACAATACTTTGGGAGGCCAAGGCAGGAGGATCCCTTGAGCCCAGGAATTCGAAACCAGCGTGGGCAACATAGGGACTATGCCTGGCTAATTTTTTCATTTTTTTCTCTACAAAATAGAGGCCTATGGTTCCAGCTACTCGGGAAGCTGAAGTGGGAGGATCACTTGAGCCCTGGAGGTTGTGACTGTAGTGAGCCTTGATTGTGCCACTGCACTCCAGCCTGGGTGACAGAGCCAAGACCCTGTCTCAAAAAAAAAAAGTATCTGTTGAAGAAACAAAGTAGAATATCAATTTCACAATAAATGGTGTCCAAAAAAAGCATATTTCATTTTTGAAAGATCCTCTGATCTAGCTGTGATGGTTTATTTTGAGGGACATATGTCATCAGGATAAAGTTTTACAACACAAATTATCACTCTCATTTTTGGTGAAGGTGTTTACACAACGAATTTTTAAGATGATAATGTTGAGGAAGACAAACTCCCTGTAATTTTATGAGAACAAACTTCCCAGCACCAATCCTAAAAATAACTCACAAATTTCAGGGAACAAAAAGCTCAAAACCTACAAAGCCGGCAGCCTCGGATCTTCCTGTTCCTGCTGAAGGTGTGCGCAATATCAAGAGTATGTGGGAGAAAGGGAATGTGTTTTCATCCCCCACTGCAGCAGGCACACCAAATAAGGTAAGCGTCTGATTTTTGTCTTTTAAGTGTAGAGGGGCACATGTTTTTTGCATGTTGATTGTGATTTGGGAATCACACTAGTAAATAATAAAAGCAGCGAAGAAGGTGCAATTTGCATTTTGTTTTGCAATGACCACAAAAGCAAGCTCAGAGAGAGTGTGTTCCTGAGGTTGCATGATGTACTAAGCCTCGGCCATTATACTCCAAATAAAGTGCCTGAGCTGAAACGTCCACCCTTGAAGTTGGAGTGGGGCGAGTTACAAGGGAAAGAAAACCAGATGACATATTCTGTAAATATCAAGTGTTAAGGTTTATGGTTATGTGAAATTATACTTACTGATATTTTGAATTTGCTTTGAAAATTCCTTCCCAGGTAAAGTTTACTTCATTCTCTAATATTTTGGATGATTGTCCCTTTGTAGGAAACTGCTGGCTTGAAGGTAGGGGTTTCTAGCCGCATCAATGAATGGCTAACTAAAACCCCAGATGGAAACAAGTCACCTGCTCCCAAACCTTCTGTAAGTACCTTCAGGTTTTTCTGAGTTTCTTTGATCTCCCAGCTTCTATCAGCGGAAGAAAACAAGCAGTTGTTCTGTTTACCTAGGAATGGCAGTGCTCCTGTTCTTTGCTTTCCCGGATGAATAACAAACGGGAAAGTGTTCAGATTTACAGCTCTTCTAAGAAGCTGCATCGCAGTTACTCAGAGGGTAAAATGGAACCAAATAATCACCTCTACACCCTAACTGAGAGAAGGAATCAGCTAGAATATTGAGGCAGTTCGAATTTAGACCCTTTACTCGTCTATTTGTTTAGCTTCTATTCTATAGATTCTAGATAGAAGTTTGAAAATGAAAGGTCAAATCATTTTGGATAGTTGTTTGTCAAGAGCACCCCTAAACTTATTCCCAAAAGAATATGTATGTTGCCTATTAGGAACCCATATGTTTCAATTTCCCTAGTTTTTATAACTTGGCACAAAAATGCAGTTATTGGGTAGTTGTTGAAATAATTGGTCTAATTGTGTTGTCAACACCTCCTCAGGAAAGTCATAAAACTGGAAACTAGAAAAACTGGTTATGAATGATGTTTTTGAGAATTTAAAATTTTCTTAATTTATTAAGTGCAGCTATCTTACTAAAGATACATTTCTTTTCACCTTTTTCGTTGAATGTATATGACAATTGCCTGGCATTTGTCATTATAATAAGAAAAAGTATCAAGCTCCCCACTGTATATTGCTGAGCTTTCGCTGTTAAGTTGGTTTTATAGCTTTGTTGGTGCTCAAGGGAGCTGAGAGTCCACTGTCATAATCCTACATTCTAGAGGAAGAAGAAAAACTTTCCAATCCTAGGCCTCTGTGCATTTAATTGCATCCATTGGCTCCATGCCATTTAATTGCATTTGTTGGCTCCAGATATAATATCCAAAGTCACTGACTTTTGTCACTTTCCAATTTAAAAAGGAAGAAATGGAAATGTTTGCAAATCCTTCTTGGACACAACTCTTTGAACCATTTAATTAATATACACCCCGAGATTCTTTGCATAAAGGCTCACAGGAGGTATAAACTAATGTCAACCCAATTTACAATTAGAAAATCTTCACACACTGAAAAAAGCAACTTTTCCTCCCCTTCTCAATAGGTGCAAGAATGGGGGTTTATAAAAGGATACAGTTGAGGCAAGAGCCTAGACCCAAAAGTTATGTGCTCTTTAGTGCCTCAAGTTTTCCAAGCATCTCTGGTAACATAAGGAGTAGAAATTATTTTCAAAAACAAAATGAAGCCATGGCAGTGTATATAAGTTTTGTGGTTCCATACCAGTGATTATTAACCCTTTTTGAATTATGAACCCCTTTAAAACCTAATGAAATTTAAGGACCCTCTCCCCCAAATATACATATAAAAACCAAGGCAGTCAATGGACCTACTGAGGAACTCTCAAGATAGTAAGTAAGGAGAGAAAGATCTATGTTTCCCTCTTTGATAAGTATGGAATATTTGGAGGAGATGCTAATTTTTGCACATTTATGATATTTGCAATCTTTCATTTTTGTAGCAGATTATACTCAAAACATTGATCCAGAACTTGCCCCCTATTCTTTTATCGGCACTTGAACTTGTAAACTTAAAAGTTTACCATCATCTGTATGACATCCTAATGAGGTTAAAAATATAAAATTCAGTTATTATTATGACAGGTATAACTGTATCCAGGTTTCCACAACAAAACAAAACAAAACATACACCATGTTCTGGGGTTACTGACAGCCTCCTAAAAAAAAAAAAAGTATTGCAGAGAAATTACAAAATCATTGCCTGCTTTACCTACTTATTAGTATGTGACTTGCTAGATCACCCCCTAGAGGGTGGAGAAGAAAAGGAAAGAAGAACATGGCAGTTAGTATAGATTTTAGTGACATCCTTCTTCCCATTAGATTTTGGAGACTGGCATGGCTTCCCGAATGAAAACCAGATGGAAGAAAGTTCTATGAAATCAATGTTGTAAATACACCAGATTGCTACTGGGATGTCCCTTGCTATTTATGGATAGAATTTATAAGATTTCAGTGTAACTTTGTAACTGCAATTCAATTCTGAGTATGTCTGTTTTAGCTGGTTTGTCTATTCTTTGTGTCTAAACTACATGTTACACAGCAATTAAAAAGCTAATTTGTCTTTCTTTTTGTTTAAAAAAAAAAAACCCAACAATGTCTTTCTCAGCTGATCTTCTGTTCCTCACTTTTTGGTCTCTGGTTGATTGGAAACCTGCTTCTCCTGCCTTCATTTCTCCCTCTTCTTCCGGAGTGGGTCTTTCTCTAAAATGTAGTCTGGTCAGGTAATTCCATTTATATTTCCCCTTTGATTTAAAATGCCAACTTATAACTCGGATGTTAATATTTTCTTAAAAGGACTCTTTAAACTCTTTAAGTGATCTTGAAAGATTCATCGGCAGGATTTATGGGAAGTGCAATCCATTTTCTTAGGTAGGAGAACATGCATGAGAAGGAAAAATATTTGTCTCATGTGAGTCAAATAAACAAAGCGATAATAGCTGCTTTCCAGAGCTTCCCTCAGCATGTTCCTAATTATAGTTTCCAAAATTTTAAAACAGTCTTCCAGACAGTTTGGCAACTTCCACCTACGCTGGCAAATGTAGTGGAATTCTACAAAAATAATCTGATTTGTTGCTTAATGGCTCCAAGTTAAATAGGTGTAACTCTCTAATAGAATATCAGGAATTCATGCCACAGAGGAAATCCAGAAACTCAGTAAGGTTTAGGCAAATCTGAAATGCTTCACATGGTATCATTTAACTATGCATTTTCGGTATTACAATCTCAATACTATCTATCAGAAATATGTCCATTTAGATCAGTGTCCATGGGTAAATGCAATTGCTGTTAGCTTTGCCTTCCTCCTGAGAAAAGGGTTTGCCAAAATAAGCATTACTATTTCAGTAAAACACATTTATTTTCTACACACTACCTTTTGCCAAGTACTAACATAAGCAAATGCTGGGAGAAAAGTAAATTGAAACAGAAATTTGGTTCCTTATCCAAATGAAATTAATTATGAGGTAGTAAATAAAGACTCTAAGCTATATAACTGTTATCGATCATATTTTAGTGTTTCCATCCCAAGATTTCCACATGTTCTTACACATGTCATCAACTGTCATCTTCTCGCATGGGTTCAATTTGTGATGAATGTTTATATTTGCGGGGTTCTACTGATCCACTTCTGAATTACCCAGTTGCCCCTCAGGAGACACAAAATGATATAGGGTGAGGGAGGTGCTGCTAGAAAAGGGACTTTGTGGCCAGGCACAGTGGCTCACGCCTACAATCCTAGCACTTTCAGAGGCTGAGGCGGGCAGATCATGAGGTCACGAGATCGAGACCATCCTGGCTAACATGGTGAAACCCTGTCTCTACTAAAAATACAAACATTAGCTGAGCATGGTGGCTTGTGCCTGTAATCCCAGCTACTCGGGAGGCTGAGGCAGGAGAATTGCTTGAACCCAGGAGTCAGAGGTTGCAGTGAGCCGAGATCATGCCACTGCACTCCAGCCTCAGTGACAGAGCAAGACTCTGTCTCAAAAAACAAAAAGAAGAAAGAAAAGTGACTTTGTTTGGGCTACCCGGCAGCGGATCCCAAGATAGTGATTCCAGAGCAAGTTGTTTACATGGAGGTGAAGAAAACACTACAGGGTGTGAGGTTGGGAGAAGGCAGCCCGCAAAGAAGGTGTTATTAAGCAAGTCCCCACATGGGCTGTTAAACCTTAATCCCACGGAGGAAATCCTGGAAGCCACCAGATAACACATACTTCAGGGTTACCCAAGCTGAGGCGAGTGAGCCTGAGAAATAATATTGCACCAACATTCCCCAGCCAGCCATTGAGGACTGCTCCTGGAGATGTTATAATAACTCTCTGAACTTTCCAGCCTGCCTCCTGGGCAGGCAAAACAGGCATCTGTACCCAGAGAATGTCCCTAGGCAGAGAAGTGCCATGTGGGCAGTTGGCAGTCAGGCTGGTGTGCACTAAAGTAGTAAGGGCTGGGGGAAAAGAGGTGAGTACTAATTGAGTTCATCTGTGAGTCAGGAAATGTTTATCAAACCCCAAATTAGTTATTTTTAAATAACCTATGATCTGTTCACTTGTAAGAGTGCAGAAATTTAAAATGAGGCTACATTATTTTAAACATGCTCCTGTTTCACTTTTACTGATCAATAAACAGTAAGTCCTTGGTAAAGGGCAAGGACCCAGAGGCTATAGTTCCAGCCCATTCTCATATCATAAGACATGTCACGGTCTATATAAAATCAAACAACAGCTAACCCCATCTCTAGTAAAAATACAAAAAAATTAGCCAGGCATGGTGGCACACACCTGTAATACCAGCTACTCAAGAGGCTGAGGCAGGAGAATCACTTGAAACCCAGTAGACGGAGGTTGCAGTGAGCCAAGATCACGCCACTGCACTCCAGCCTGGGCGACAGAGTGAGACTCTGTCTCAAAAAAAAAAAAAAAAAAAAAAAATCAAACAGCTGATGGTCCTTTCAATTCCATTTCAGATCACTGGGGTAAAGTGTATTAAGCAACAAATTGATTCAAATAAACAATAGATGTGGCCATTTATTTAGAGCTGGCTGGAAAATATAAATGGCCACCTGTCGATGTTTTTCTGCTTTCTCTTTATCAGGACTTGAGACCAGGAGATGTATCCAGCAAGCGGAACCTCTGGGAAAAGCAATCTGTGGATAAGGTCACTTCCCCCACTAAGGTAATCCATTGGGAGGACTAATATTTCGGAGGTTTGTTTTCCTGATGTATGCTGTAGTATAATGTCCTGGAGTCAGATGAGAAATATCGCTGACCTACCGATCTTTGCCTGCACACTCATCAGTGTCTAAAAGACCAGTACATAACACAGTGAAAGGAAAAGTGCATTGCAAGTTTGTCAGTCATACAACATCAACAGCCCAAATCCATGGAATGGTTCTCAGTAAGACATTCTCAATACATCACAGTGGTAGGAACGTTGGCAGCAGAAGCCTGTATGGGATACTATGGTCTACGTTTCCTTACAACGTCCCAGCTTGGTGCCACAGTCATTTAAAGATCACTTGGGGAAAACATCTGTCTCCCTGAGTGTTTCCAAAACTGCTTTCTGGAACCATTTTAGATTATATTGCCACTGCCAGCAGCCTAAGACTCAGGGTTGCTATGGCAAAAAAATTAAAATAATATTCAAGAGTAAGGCAACCATTTAATACCCTATGAAAATGAATGGCTAAGAATGACTGGGCTCCTCTTACTTTTAGTCTTCTGGTCAAAGGATATGGTCATTCTTCAGAAAGGAGGCTCTGAAGAACATCTAAATGATGCTCAGACTGCAAATGGGACCCTTTGTGGTACAATGAGCTCATTCAACTCCCAACTGTAGCCTTTCCCCATTTCAAGTAATAGACCTAGTCTTCTTCAATAAAAAGAAAATTAAAAAGGAAGAAACTGGAGACGGACAATAAGCAAGGTTAGAACAGGCTGCTTATGGGCTGATTTAAACAGAAGCACTTCTTAAGCAAACTCAGGACTAAAGAGCGCATCAAAGGCAGCAAGAGAATCACTACAATTCACTGCAGTGAGAGAATTACCTTCCCTTTCCTACTTTCTACATGTTCTTAGTTCTGGTGCAGCTACCTAAACATGTTACCCCACCTTCACTATTAGCTACGCATTGCGCTTTTATTCCATTGAAATTCACTAGCCTTTCTAAGTCATTGCTACACATATGAAAAGTACCTGCTGGTAATTATCACATTGCAAACTACTAGCGCTAAGTGAGCACCCCACTGTATGCTAGACAATCTTCTGCCTTCTTACCCTCCATTATTTCATTTGATCCTCCAGTCACCACGTGAGGTAAGTAGTGTATCATTCTCATTTTGCAGCTGAGAAAAATGAGGCACTGAAAGATGAAGTAACTTTCTCAAAGTCACACAGTGAATAAGTAGCATAGCCTGCATTGATACTCCAGCAGTCTGATCTAAGCCTGCATTTTAACCATTATACATGGTACTTTCTTTTAGGATGCTATTGAGGAGAAAATGTATAGTTGTCAATTCCTTCTATAATTTTCTCTTGGTGGCAGGGGAGAAAAGAACTTTTTTTTTGTTATTTTTTAAACAAAGAATGAACTTGTTGACCTAAGCCTTTATGACCACTCTAGCCTATTCTATTAGCGCATTGCAGGTTTGTCAGCCATGCGGTGTAAGTAGCACAAACCCATGGAAAGGTTCCCAGGAAGACATTCTCCATACACCACCGTGGGAGGAATGTTGACAGCAGAAGGTTCTCTTCTCAGACCTCTGAGAGGTATCTGACCTCTCAGAATGGCAGTCCCAGGGTTTATGAGTCCCAGAATGAGTCCCTGAAAAGGGGATGTCAGCTCGCTATAGACCATCGTCACCAGTATAATGAAGTATCTCTGGATAACATTCCTCCTAGCCAGAGCTATGGAAAGTAGAACAAAGATGATGTGAAATGGTCAGACTCAGAGACCACCACTCACATACAAACATGAATGGTACTCCCTGGAGTTATGTAGCACTAGTTATGTAGGCAGTACAAGGTAGGAGGGTGACAGTGTGAGTTTTCACATGCCACTAACCTCTTTCTACACTAGTAATAATATAACCACCAGACGCAGAACTGAGTTTATGAGGTAGCAGATTAGGTAGCTCTTTTGCTCCAAAATGTCAAACTCATTTCTTGTTACTCAGTCATTCCTTAGAAATGAATACAATGAACACCCTTGAAAATTTGAATTCACAACACTTTAAGATTTCTTAATAGCTTGGCAAAAAATTTTAGCAACTAGCTGAGGGGGAGAGAATGGTATAAGAATAGGACTACAGGTGAGATAAGTCTCGTGGGGTAGGGGTATAAGAATAGGAGGGAGAAAATAGAGATTGCTAGATTAAAAATGGGAGAAAACTAAAGATAAACATCCTCCTTCACCATCATACATTGATGTGGCCCTCACTGAGCTATTCAGTCGCTTGTGCCTGTTCTAGAATACACACTAGATTTTTGGCTCTTATGGTAGAGTTTAAAAATGAAAAAAACAAAGCAACTTACCTGACTCTAAATGCTATGAGCAAGGCGAAAGGTTAAGATAGGAAAAGAGAACATAAAGGAGAAAGACAGGAAGAGGGAAGTGAAAAAAATCAGAAGGAAGGATAAAATAAAAGAAGATCCAGCCGGGCGCAGTGGCTCACAACTGTAATCCCAGCACTTTGGGAGGTTGAGGCAGGCAGATCACTAGAGGTCAGGAGTTCAAGATTAGCCTGGCCAACATATGGGAAACCTCGTCTTTACCAAAAATACAAAACTTAGCCAGGCATGGTGGTGCACGCCTGTAATCCCCAGCTACTCAGGAGGCTGAGATGGGAGAATTGCTTGAACCTGGGAGGCAGAGGTTGCAGTGAGCTGAGATCACACCACTGCACTCCAGCCTGGGTGACAGAGCAAGATTCTGTCTCAAAAAAATAAAAAAAGTAAAATAAAAGATCATATTTGAATGGAATGCCAGTAATAATCCTCCCTTTCATAAATATTTATTCCTGCCATACTTTTATTCCTTTTTCTTCTGACTCTAAAAACTGTCTGCCTGAAACACTGCAGGCTGTCAGTTTCACACTGCAAGCTGTCAATTTCAACTTCTCTTCTCTTGGCAGGTTTGAGACAGTTCAAGAAAGAACCCAAGCTCAAGACGCGGGACGAGCTCAGTTGTAGAGGGCAAATTTGCTCTGTTTTGTATTTATGTTGATTTACTAAATTGGGTTCATTTTCTTTTATTTTTCAATATCCCAATAAACCCATGTATATTATCACTATATTTAATAATCACAGTCTAGAGATGTTCATGGTAAAAGTACTGCCTTTGCACAGGAGCCTGTTTCTAAAGAAACCCATGCTGTGAAATAGAGACTTTTCTACTGATCATCGTAACTCTGTGTCTGAACAGTGATACCAACCACATCTGAAGTCAACAGAAGATCCAAGTTTAAAATTGCCTGCGGAATGTGTGCAGTATCTAGAAAAATGAACCGTAGTTTTTGTTTTTTTAAATACAGAAGTCATGTTGTTTCTGCACTTTATAATAAAGCATGGAAGAAATTATCTTAGTAGGCAATTGTAACACTTTTTGAAAGTAACCCATTTCAGATTTGAAATACTGCAGTAATGGTTGTCTTAAAAAAAAAAAAAAAAAAAAAAAAGGAAATGTACTGTTAAGGTATTACTTTTTTTCATGCTGATGATTCATATCTAAATTACATTATTATGTTAGCTGACAGTGGTACTGATTTTTTAGGTTGGTTGTTTTGTGGATTTCTTTGGTAGTGATAGTAGCCTGAACCACATTTTAGATAACTCATGTATGTATGTATGTGCATACACATATACAAACACACTAATGGTAGAATGCTTTTTTATGTGCTAGACTATTATATTTAGTAGTATGTCATTGTAACTAGCCAATATCACAGCTTTTGAAAAATTAAAGAATCACAATATTATATTAATATTTCATATTTGCCAATAGAAACATGGCAGATAGGTATCAATATGTTTTCAATGCCTGATGACCTATAAGAAGAAAGTATTGAAAAGAAGAGAGATTAGAAGTGTCACAAGGAGTTGAAATTTTCTAAAAGACATAGTATTTAGTTTATAATTAAATGCATTCTTGAAGTCCAGTGTGAATTTTATTAATGTTATCATCTCGACCAAGCTCAAAGCCTACTTATTAGAAACAATGAAGTTCACAATAGGTCATAAGGTCTCTTCCTTTTCTAAAATTGAAAGACAAGAAATTTAGTGCCAATATTGTACAGACTGAAATTCCATGAGTCTCACAAAGACTACCTTTGGCTAAATGTCTGCAAACAGAGAAGTGAGCAAAATCCAGTGTTGAGGAGTCATGACAGTACTTTGATCTTTATATACTCTGAAACATTTCTTTAAATTAAACTTTTCTACATTTATTTGTCATTGGTACTTGTAGTAAGTTGACAATGTGGTGAAATTTCAAAATTATATGTAACTTCTACTAGTTTTACTTTCTCCCCCAAGTCTTTTTTAACTCATGATTTTTACACACACAATCCAGATCTTATTATAGCCTCTAAGTCTTTATTCTTCACAGTAGATAATGAAAGAGCCCTCCAGTGTCTTGGCAAAAATGTTCTGGTATAGCTGGATATGTACAGTGGAGTTATATAAACTCATACCTCAGTGGACTTAACCAAAATTGTGTTAGTCTCAATTCCTACCACACTGAGGAAGCCTCCCAAATAACTATTTTCTTATCTGCAGTATTCCTTCAGAAGAGCTAACCAGGGCAGGGCTGGCATGAGAAGTGACCCCTGCGTTACAAAGTCTATCTTCCTCAGAAGTTTGTAAAGAGCAGTTGAATATTCTAGCTTTAGCAAACCTAGGCCAAAGGAAGGAAAGCCATGAAGAATGCAGAAGTCAAACACTCATGACAGAGTAGGCACAAGTTTACAATAAGCTAAATCAGAATTTACAAATACAAATGTCCCAGGTAGCATTGACTCCCATCATTGGAGTGAAATGGATCAAAGTTTGAATTAAGGCCTATGGTGAGGTAACATTGCTTTGCTGTACTTTTGAACAAGAGCTTCTCCTGATCACTGTTATATATTTTTCTAGAAAATCTAAAGTTCAGAAGAGAATGTATCACTGCTGACTTTTATTCCAATATTTGGATGGAGTTAGGTTTTAGGGTAGAATTTTGTTCAGTTTGGATTTAATCTTTTGAAAAGTAAATTCCTTGTTTACTGGTTTGACTATAATTCTCTGTTATCTTTATGAGGTAAAACTGCAAGCTGACTAGCATGTTCTGTGAATCTGCCATTCCTAAAACTTTATAAACACTTCATATTTTTCACTGATAATTGATCGCTCCAATAAACATATATTGTGAAAATGCATCCACAATAAATGGAATTCCTTCCTGCAAAATGTCTTTGCCTCACTTATTTTTATGTACAATATTGATAGTGAGAGGTGTGTCTATTGTAATAAAGATTATGGCACAGTAAAACCTATATTTCAGGTTGAGTCTTGGTTTCACTCTTTAAAGAAGAAAAGCATTTTCATATTTTTAAATTATCTAACGAAATACAGAAAATTGGTCTTATGTTGACAACTGACCAAACATGTATGGAAAAGGTTGAAGAGGAATTTTGCAAATCCTTCCTAAAAGAAACTATCGTCCGGGCACAGTGGCTCACGCCTGTAATCCCAGCACTTTGGGAGGCAGGAGGATTGCTTGAGCCCGGGAGTTCAAGACCTGTAGGGTCCAGCCCCACTAGGTCAGTGGGTTTTTCTCCCCGTGTGTGGAGACGAGAGATTGTAGAAATAAAGACACAAGACAAAGAGATAAAAAAAAAAAAAGACAGCTGGGCCCGGGGGACCACTACCACCAAGACGCGGAGACGGGTAGTGGCCCCGAATGCCAGGCTGCACTGATATTTATTGGACACAAGACAAAGGGGCAGGGTAAGGAGTGTGAGCCATCTCCAATGATAGGTAAGGTCACGTGGGTCACGTGTCCACTGGACAGAGGGCCCTTCCCTGCCTGGTAGCCGAGGCAGAGAGAAAGAAAGGAGAGAGAGAGAGAGACAGCTTACGCCATTATTTCTGCATATCGGAGACTTTTAACTTTCACTAATTTGCTACTGTAATCTAAAAGGCAGAGCCAGGTGTACAGATTGGAACATGAAGGCGGACTAGGAGCGTGACCACTGAAGCACAGCATCACAGGGAGAGGGTTAGGCCTCCGGATAACTGCGGGCGGGCCTGACTGATGTCAGACCCTCCACAAGAGGTGGAGGAGTAGAGTCTTCTCTAATCTCCTCCAGGGAAAGGCAGACTCCCTTTCCCGGTCTGCTAAGTAGCGGATGTTTTTCCTTGACACTGACGCTACCACTAGACCACGGTCTGCTTGGCAACGGGCATCTCCCCAGACGCTGGCGTTACCGCTAGACCAAGGAGCCCTCTGGTGGCCCTGCCCGGGAATAACAGAAGGCTCGCACTCCTGTCTTCTGGTCACTTCTCACTATGTCTCCTCAACTCCTATCTCTGTATGTCCTGGTTTTTTCTAGGTTATAATTGTCGAGCAAGGATTATTCTAATATTGGAGTAAAGAGTAATTGCTACAAACTAATGATTAATGATATTCATATAGAATCATATCTATGATCTATGTCTAATATAACTTCTTATTTTATATATTTTATTATACTGGAACAGCTCATGCCCTCGATCTCTTGCCTTGGCACCTGGGTTGCTTGCCACCCGCAAAGACCAGCCCAGGCAACATAGCAAGAACCCTTTCTGTACAAAATAATTTAAAAGCCAGGCATGGTGACATACACCTGTAGTCCCAGATACTCGGGAGCCTGAGGCAGGAGGATCACTTGAGCCCAGGAGGTCGAGGCCACAGTGAGCCCTGATAGCACCACTGTGCTCCAGCCTAGGTGACAAAGTAAGACCCTGTCTCAAAAAAAAGTAACTATCGATTGTCCCTCCATCCTCCTTCTCATTGCCAACGTTGTCACATACCAGCCCTCTGGCTCCTAAGATGGGCAGTACTGTTTTCTTAAAGGTAGTATCTCTTATATAGAAACACCCATTTAATATAAACCATTCATTTGTAGAATACTTACTACTTGCAAGGCACTGGTGATTACATGGGAATCCAAAGTTATTTTTTCATGGTAATTTTGCATATTTATGTAGCACTAATTGGTCTGAAATCTGAAGTTCTCATAAAGGTTTTAAACTGTGAGTTCGAAGCTCCTGAACAGTTCCCTCAACCCTGCCTACAAGATTGACACAATTAACTAAGTTACTATAAAAAAAATAGTATTTTTATTTCTGTGTCCTAACAAGAAGTGTGATAAGTATAGACAATAATATAGTTGTTATCAAAATCAATTTGCAAAATTAAGCAATGTAAAGAATACAATCTGTAATACCAATACCAAACTGGTAAGATTAGAGGTGAATGGAAATTAATTTTACAATATGTATATTCAGGATAAGAGCTTGAAAACATACTAGTGTCTTCTGTGATGTCAAAACAGGTCTGTATTAAAGGTTTTTTCCTACCTTTGCTTGTATGTATGCTCCAAGTGGAAGAATGGATAAGAAAAAAAGATCTCAATCCTAAATTTGTGTTCTTCCATTGGCATTAGCAGATAACTAACAAGGGCTTGATTTTAGTACAGTGTCTATTTATGTCAAGTCTATTAATTGTGTCCTAATATTCTATATCCTACTGATTTTTTCCTTATCTGTTACTGAGAAAGGAAAGTGAAAAAGCTCCCACTACAATTATGGATTTGTCTATCTCTCCTTGTAATTCTGTTAATTTTGCTTTCCATATTTTAAGGTTATTTTTAGGTGAGATATTCAATTCACTAGGAAGATATAATGATTCTAAATCTTTAGCTAAAGATCACTATGAAGTGACCATCTATTTGTGCAAAGACTTTTGCCTTAAAGTTATTTTTTTCTATTCTTAAAATTACTATGGTGGCTTTCTTTTGACTAGGGCTTGCATCATATTATTTTTTCCATCCCTTAAATTTCATTTATATCCTTTAGTCTTAGATACATGTCTTTAACAATAATCACATGGTTTGGGTTTTAATCCAATCTGGTGATCTCTGAGTTTCAACAGGAATATTTAGTCCTTTCATATTTAATGTAATTACTGATATCTTTGTATTTAATAGTATCCTAGCTATGCGCCACCTGTACTATATGACTTTTTCTTTCTTGTTCATGCCGGGGCTGCTGCTGCCTCAGAGCATATGCTCATCTACAAGTGGCAGCTGAGAGGCTGAGCTAGATCTTTGGAAATACAATTGGGCTAGAGGAAAAGAAGTCAGAATCTGCTAACTGCCAAGAATGAGGGCTAGGTAAACTACTTCTAGCTTTGGTTGGGTCTTCAGAGAGCTGCCTCCTAAAACTAAGGTGAATTTAAAGTTATCTGGTCTTCACACAGGTTGCCACCTAGCTCCACTCTGTGGAACAATTCTAGTATTCTCGCAAGGAAATAAATGATCAATGGTAAAGATGAGAAAAGTTACAAAATACTGAGTAACAATTCAAGAATTTAAGAGATAAAGTATCACAAGGCTCTAGCACATAACTGTCAAAGAATTATGTAGTATATACTTGTCAACATTTAGAGGGAAGAGAGAATACAGCAGCCTGGGGTAATCAAAGAAGAAAAATATTTGCCTGAACGTTTTTTATACCCCCAGAAGTGTACACAGTACCACTACACATAACAGTGCTTGGTAAGCGATAAGATGATTTCACAAGCAACTCAGTTTATAAACTTTGCTAGATGTGCTGCTGTCAATTTCTGTTAAGTTTCTAGAGTTATAAGAGGTTAATTTTGTGACATTTTGTATTACTAAATTTATAGTTCATGTATCAACTCAGCCCTGAATCTCAGCTCCATAAAGAACACTGGCTTCTTACATCACTCTAATGCCAGTTGTTGTTGTTGTTGTTGTTGTTTTGAGATGGAGCCTTGCTCTGTTGCCCAGGCTGGAGTGCAGTGGCACCATCTCAGCTCCCTGCACTGCAACCTCCGCCTCCCAGGTTCAAGTGATTCTTCTGCCTCAGCCTCCTGAGTAGCTTGGACTACAGGTACGTGCCACCACACCCAGCTAAATTTCGTATTTTTAGTAGAGATGGGGTTTCACCATGTTGGCCAGGCTGGTCTTGAACTCCTGACCTCAAGTGATCTGCCCACCTCGGCTTCCCAAAGTGCTGGGATTACAGGCATGAGCCATCATACCTGGCCTCCAATGCAGATTTAATAGCAGAGTTTTGCCATGACATGCTCTTAGTAGTGATGGCTTTTACTATCTTGAAATAGGATTTTCAAAAAATGTTTCATTAAAATAGATTTTGGAAGGCCCAATGGGTCATTTCTACCTAGATAAGGAACCTTAATTCAATCTTCTCTTACTGAATATACCAAAAATTATGCAAAAGTACCACAATCCTACAGAACACACAATTAGTTTCTTAACCAGTTTTCAACCTTACCTAGCACTCTTTCATTCTAACATGCTTTTATTAGGATAATGAAATGCTATCTTGTATATGTCTAGTTCCTGCTGTATTAGTCAGGGTTCTCTAGAGGGACACACTAATGGAATAGTTTATATAAAATCTATAAAGGGGAGTTTTTTAAGTATTAACTCACATGATCACAAGGTCCCACAATAGGCCATCTGCAGGCTGAGCAGCAAGGAGAGCCAGTCTGAGTTCCAAAACTGACGAACTTGGAGTCCGATGTTTGAGGGCAGGAAGCATCCAGCGTGGAAGAAAGATGTAGGCTGGGAGTCTAGGCCAGTCTCTCTTTTCACATTTTTCTGCCTGCTTATATTTTCGCCATGCTGGCAGCTGATTAGATTGTCCCCATCCAGATATTAAGGGTGGGTCTGCCTTTCCCAGACCACTGACTCAAATGCTAATTTCTTTTAGCAACACCCTCACAGATACACCCAGGATCAATAGTTTGTATCCATCAATCCAATCAAGTTGACATTCAGTATTAACCATCACACCTGCCAACATTAGTAACACGGGTGCTTTGAGGTTTTTTCAAATTACAGAAATTAGTTATCAAGTTCACTAGGGTTTCTCAACTAGGGTCTCACAGACCACACTTTAAAAACCACTTCCCCATGTCTTGAGGAGAATGATGGCTCTAACCTGCTCCCTGATGTAACGTGTAAGTGCTTAGAACTTATATGTTACTCACCCAATCCTCACAACCCTACAAGACAGGCACTACTGTACTGTCCCCCCTTGACAGGTAAACAAATTGAATCAAAGAGAATTTAAAAACTTGCCCACAGTCATATGGCTAAATGGCAGAATATTTGACCCAAGGCAGTTGGCTCCTGAGTCATTCAGGACATAGGCATGAGCAAGGACTTCATGACTAAAACACCAAAAGTAATGGCAACAAAAGCCAAACTAGACAAATGGGATCTAAAGAGCCTCTGCAGAGCAAAAAAAAAAAACAAAAAAACAAACCACCATCAGAGTGAACAGGCAACCTATGGAACAGGAGAAAATTGTTGCCATCTACCCATCTGACAAAGGGCTAATATCCAGAATCTACAAAGAACTTAAATTTATATGAAAAAATCAACCCCATCAAAAAGTGGGTGAAGGATATGAACAGACATTTCTCAAAAGAAGACATTCATGCAGACAACAGACACATGAAAAAAATGCTCATTATCACTGGTCATCAGAGAAATGCAAATCAAAACCACAATGAGATACCATCTCACACCTGTTAGTATAGCGATCATTAAAAAGTCAAGAAACAACAGGTGTTGGAGAGGATGTGGAGAAAAAGGAACACTTTACACAGTTGGTGGGACTGTAAACTAGTTCAACCATTGTGGAAGAAAGTGTGGCGATTCCTCAAGGATCTAGAACTAGAAATAACATTTGACCCAGCCGTCCTCTTACTGGGTATATACCCAAGGGTTATAAATCATGCTACTATAAAAACACATGCACACGTATGTTTATTGCAGCAATATTCACAATAGCAAAGACTTGGAATCAACCCAAATGTCCATCAATGATAGACTGGATTAAGAAAATGTGGCACATGTACACCATGGAATACTATGCAGCCATAAAAAAGAATGAGTTCATGTCCTTTGTAGGGACATGGATGAAGCTGGAAACCATTATTCTGAGCAAACTATCGCAAGGACAGAAAACCAAACGCTGCATGTTCTCACTCATAGGTGGGAACTGAACAATGAGAACACTTGGACACTGGGGGAGGAACATCAAACACCGGGGCCTATCGGGAGGTGGTGGGAGAGGGGAGGGATGGCATTAAGAAAAATACCTATTGTAAATGATGAGTTAATGGGTGCAGCACACCAACATGGCACATGTATACATGTGTAACAAACCTGCACGTTGTGCACATGTACCCTAAAACTTAAAGTATAATTTTAAAAAATGAACTTCTTAATGCCAAATCGAATGCCAAATACCAGAAGTAAATCTCAAATATCAAAATGATACTGTTTTAGTAACTGAAAAGTGACCAACTCTAGCCAACATGCCCTGAGCTGGAAAGGGAATTTCACCATTGCACAGTTAGGGCAGATTTTGGCGGGAGGAAAAGACAATTTCATGTTTTTTGTCATGAGATTTCACTCAGAGTCTGGGAAACTATTCGTTCTCTTTTGAGATGATTTATCCTATCTATTATCGGTTGAGCAGGCAGGGGGCATTCTTACTAACTCATTTCCAAATACTAAGGGCAATGACAGCTTCACCGTAGCCCCCAAATACAGACAATTAATTCTGCCGATGACAGAGTAACTAGAAAAGACACCATCAAGTGAATGACGCTTGAGCTGAGTGTTGGTTAGTTGACTGGCTGAGACAGGTCTCAAGATCTGAGCTTGGAAACAGTTTAAGAGGTTTGGCCCTGTACTAGGTCATCCTAGACCCAGATAGTATGAAGAAGATAATTACAAGATAATTACTAGACTATCCCAGGCTTCCCAGGCCCTCCTATGGCTTCCTCAGTCGAATTACAAGACCTCTAAGATCATAGACTACTGAGTTCTATGATGTCATAAGTAACTGATTGCCGTAGTCACTTCATATATTCATTTAAGCCTCTCTCAATTGTCAACCTAAATAACAGAGACAGGCTCTCTAAAAGACGTTTATTTGGGAATGGAACATTGCAAATCGGAATATGCATGTCATAGTAAACTATGTGTATAGTCAGGGAGGTAAAGGAAGATAAAGATTTTTAAAAGAAAATAAGAGGAAGATTACATACTGGCTTTTAAAATGATTATCCTTAGCCACAAAGATCAATAACAAGAGAGATGCCAGTCTGACGTTAGCCAGGCAGTTGCTGAGCAGCTGTCCTTGTAGAAGTATCTTTTCTGTAAGGTGGTGATGGCCCTCGTGTAAGGTTGTGGTTGTTACGGAGTCTTTTTCATTATCAAGCACACAAATGTGAAGACTCTTCTTTCATGGCCTTCTCCAGCTCTGTTTGTCAGAGTTTTCTTTCATGACTCTATTTTGATTCTGATCCAAATGATATAGCTACACAAAATTATACTCCTAACACAACTTACCTTTGGCCATCCTGCTAAAACGAACTTTCTTCCCGATTCCCACACAAGTAATTGTGCTTTTTGGCACAGTTGGCACTTAAAGAGTTTTGGTTGTCTTTTCCTCTTTTCTTACTCTATTTTTTATTATACTGCCTTTTAGACTGCAGTCTTAGATCAAACTCAAAAAAAAAAAAAAAGAGGAGAAAAAGTTGCCACAAGGGTAAAGCTGCCTTCCCAAAAGGCAGAAGCTGGCAATAGAAGGAGCATGTCCAGTAACCTTCTTTGGTGAGATCACAAGGAAGGGGAACAAAAATTCAGACAAAGTCCTTGGTAGAAGTTTATTCTAGGCCTTACTTCCACATGAACTTAAAGACAAATGATTTCATTTCCAGTACATATTACTGTCTTGAATAGGAGAGTAAGTTAAAAAGGAAGAGTTAAAAAAAAAAAAAAAAAAGTGGATGCTTAAGCAAACCATTTCAATTTTACTTGGGCAAGTAAAAAATCCCTGTGAAGTCTCTTACCTTAAAATGATACTGATTCCAGCTAAGCTTCGGCTAAATAGTACTGCCTAGTATACAGCTGATCCCTGAAAAACACAAGTTTGAACTATATGAGTCCAAGTATACAGGGATTTTCTTCCACCTCTGCCACCCTTGAGACAGCAACTCCATTACACTCTAACCTGGGTGACAGAGCTGTCTTTAAAAAGAAAAAAAAATGTTAATAACCCCTCCTCTTCCTCTTCCTCAGCCTACTCAATGTGAAGACAAGGATGAAGACCATTATGATGACTTACATTTAATGAATAGTAAATATACTCTCTTCCTTATAACTTTCTTAATAACATTTCATCTTACTTTATTGTAAGAATACAATACGTAATACATATAACATACAAAATATGTGCTAATCGACTGTTTATGTCATCAGTAAGAGTTCCAGTCAACAGTAGGCTCTCAGTAGTTAAGTTTCTGGGGAGTCAACAGTTATATGCAGATTTTCAGCTATGTAGAGGATGATACCCCTAACCCCCAAGTTGTTCAAGGCTCAACTGCAGTTCGTAACACAGACTTCTCAGTCTATGTACTTGCTGCTTACCCTGCCTGGCAGAGTCTCCCCATAAGACATCCTGTGGTTCATCCCTCTGCTCAAATACTCCCTGGCCAGAGAGGCCTTCCCTGGCCATTCCATCTAAAAGAGCAACCCTGGCAAGGCCCCCCACCCCCAACACCCCCTATTCTCTTTTTTCCCCCTACTTGATTTCTCTTCATAGCTGTTATCGTCTGAGTGATATCATTTTTATTATCATCATTGGTTTGTTTACTCCCACCAGAATGTAACCTCCACAATAAATGTATGGTTTTTTTCCTTGCAGTAGTGAACTGTCCCTAGTAGGCAGCAACCATCCTGTAAATGTGTTACACCAAGGCATGAGGATCCCTTGGGACCAATAGTTTGAGCCTGCAGTGAGCTATGATTGTGCCACTACACTCCAACCTGGGTGACAGAGCTGTCTTTAAAAAGAAAAAAAATTGTTAATAAAATAATGAATGAATATCATTTTCAAAGTTTTGCCAAATTCCTAAGATTTTGGCCAGGCATGGTGACTCATGCCTGTAATCCCAGTACTTTGGGAGGCTGAGGTAGGCAGATCACTTGACACCAGGAATTCGAGACCAGCCTGGCCAACATGGTGAAACCACACCTCTACTAAAAAATGCAAAAATTAGTGGTGGTGTGTGCCTGTAGTCCCAGCTAGTCGGGAGGCATGAGAATCACCTGAACCCCAAAGGCGGAGGTTGCAATGAGCTGAGATCGCACCACAGCACTCCAGCCTGGGCAACAGAAAAAGTGAGATTCTGTCTCAAAAAAAAAAAAAAAAACCTAAAGTTTTAAAATTATGCACTAAGACCATTTTTCTTCCCATGGATTACTTGATATGTGATAATATAACTATTTGGACTAAAAATCATGAAACTTAAGTCTCTCAGCTCTGCCATTAATTTCTTGTATAACCTGGTTAGATCACTTCTCAGTTTTACCTTGTGCAGCTGACATCCTATGGCTTACAGCCATGACTAAAACCCAACAGAAAAACAGATTACATATATAAAGATTTCTCTGTGCATGTCACTTTTAGTGACTTATGTATGGCTAAAACAAGGTTCAACTATAAGAGTGACTTTTCAAGAGGTTTATCTAAGATATACTCTATTAATATTCTCTGTCCAAGGTCTAATATGGAAGGTTCAGACTTTTAAACTGCTGACCTCAAAACACCTATTTTCAGAAACTTACAAAATACAAAGAAATTATATTAACCCATTTCCATGCTTAAGCCATAGTGCTTTGCCCTTTATTCTACTTTCAAATTTGCTGCGATTCATTATCTCTATTTCTACATTATCACGAATCTCATGGCATATAATGCTTTGTGAAAAGTGTTTATTTACATTCTTATATCACCAAAATCTAGACTTTTTTTTCAGCTGTACTTGGAAAACTGTTCCAAATAGATTACATTACCCAGCAGAGCTAAAAATGAGGGAAAAAATCAATATGGGATGTTCATGAATAACGTCTGTTAATTAAATGAGACTACATATAGTGATTTGCAGTGATCAGGAAAACAGTGTTAAACATGCTAGCTGATGATTGCTATAAAGAATCTCTGAGCTGATAATTTTTGAGAATTCACCCTAGTTCATCTATGACTCTCCATTTAGTATTTAAGGAGAAAAGCCTCATTTTCCGAATTGAATAAAGAGAATTAATCACACAACTGTGTAGAATGGAACTCAGTCTGTATAAAAATCAAGACGAACGTACTTTTTAATATTCTAACATCTCCAAGGAGTAGTTTCAAGTACTGTACCCAAGAAGTTCAGGTAATTTGTCCATTGTCACACCGTTAAAAGTCAAGTGGGCTCCAAGGCGCAGTCCTAACCAGCATGCCTCCTCTAAGGCAATAGTCGAAGTGCAGACTTCGACTAGGAATTATTAGCTGTCTGGCCTTCCACGCTCCTAAATTCTTCCAACAGACCCCAACGCCTCCCAGACACCCTCTCTGACCGCCCTGCTGCCCACCCCAAGTTCCCAGCATGCTCTGGGCTCCGACTTCCTGGGGCCAAAACCTGCGCAGGCTCCTTTCCTCCGCACTGGTTGTAGGTGATCTCCGAGGGCTGCTCAAAGTCTCGCGAGGGCGGACCCGTTGCCTGGTGACGAGAGTTGGGGGCGTGGCTGGGGCTGCGGATCGCCAGTAGTGGCATTCCTTCTACCGGCTGGACCCTGGGTTCTCCGCTAGATCCCAAGATATTGTCCCCGCACGGAAGCGACGACTGGCCTGACCAGAGGACTCGGCCAGGATCTAGGTGCTGGCCCCAACGGGACGGTGAGGTAGGCAGAAGGAAGGTGGGGCGCCCCCTGCGGGAAGCGAGCGCGCCCCGGAAAATGAGCGCCTCACCACACCCTGGTGGCCAGGAGTGAGTGCGGGAAGGAACTCGGCCGCCTAGAGTTGTGGCCTCATCCTGGCTCCCGCCAAAAACCCCTTGGTACTGTCGGGACGCGGCTGAACGTGGACGCGCCCGCACCTGCCCTCCTCCGCGGTGGTGGAAGACACCCGCGGAGCGCCGGTGAATAAGGGACTTCCCCTGAGGCCAGAGCTGTATCCACAGCAGGTCAGCACTTCGTGTGCCCCGTGTGCACCTGTAAGGAGTGGAATTTACGCCAGTCGGGTTTTCCAAATGTGGAGTTGTGATGCCCAGGCAAAAACTTCAGTTTCTTAGGACTGAAGGTGTCATCTATGAGACAATCGGCTCCGTGGCATTGGCAGTGATTTGCCATAGAGCTTGGACTTAACTTATAGGTAGTCCACGCTGCAAAACATGCTTTCTGTAGAGAGGGGCATAAACCAATAGATTTGCAATTGTCGAGTCCTTTGGTCTCTCAAGAACGATGGGAACTTGACAAGAAATTTCGATTATTCCCTGGTCTTAGTATTAACCACATGGGAAGATACTTACATAGAATGGTAGTGGTCATTACCGATACAACCTTCTGGTAGCTATTTAGATTTCTAAGAATAAGAATAATATAAATGAATATTAGACAGTATCTACAGAATGATAATCAAAATGTAAAGTCTTGTCACTTGAACTTTTGGTCAAGTGAAAATCAAGGAGAAAACTTAAAATTATATTGCTACATTTCACAAAGTGACTAATTTTTAAAATTCATTATCTTTTAATGCCTCAGTATCATTCTGAACTTGCTGTGTAATATTCAATTGTAAATATAATAAAATGTGAATGATTTGGCTGTATACTCTGGAAATTCCTTTTAATTAAATGATTTACTTGATTTGTCTTTTATTGTGGTTGTTGTCTCTTACAGTCGTGGAAAATTCCTTTAAATCTCTGAAATTGAAGGTGTTATTAGTTGTACTGTAGTTTTTAGAGAAGACTGTTGTGACTGTTAAATACAATTGAATATATTTTTGAGTACTCATTTAATGTAGTAAACACAGCTTGAAAAGAAAAGCTGTCAAATAATTTCCTTAGAAATTGTTTTACAGCCTACCCCTATATTACAAGAAATCTCAAGTCAAACACTGGAAGAGATGTCAGAAGATTCAGAAAAGGAAGACTATTCAGACAGAACAATCAGTGATGAAGATGAATCGGTATGTTTTTCTCAACTTTGTTTTACTTGGAGATAAAATTTGTATTATATAAATCCCTAATTAAAGTATTATAAAGTCAATTGGATATAAAAATCAATTGGATGTTTAAATTATTGTCATTGAAGTTGGGAAATAATTTGGCTGAAAAAGCTGAGCTATCACTGGGAACACTATGCCCTGTCTAGAAAGAGAAACTGTGTTTGTATTTTTTTGAGAAAATATTTTAGCTAAGATTCTTCTAGGTTTTATTAAAATTTGTGTATGAAATTTTTAGTAGGGTTTTTAGGATTAGTGTCCACTTATTTTCTTATATGTGCTGATTGGATTGTGTTACATCGTAGTATGAATCATAGTAGAACCACCATGTTCTAACCTTGTTGTGTATCACCATAACAGTTTATTGTGGCTCTGATGTCATAGAGGAAGGGACATGGAAGAAGAAAAAGGGGGGAAAATGTAGTATTTAAAATTCTTTAGTCTGTTTCTACTACATATTCTGAGATATTTCCTTCAAATTTTATTGAAGTGTAAATTATGTATGTAAACTAATGTCCCGAAATAAGCTCTTAAAGCTTACTTTAACTACTTAAAGGAATTACGGCTTTCTGTGTTTTTCTTTTTGTTATTTTTTTTTTTCGTGAGCCAGAGTTTCGCTCTTGTTGCTCAAGCCGGAGTGCAATGGCGCGATCTCGGCTCACTGCAACCTCTGCCTCCTGGGTTCAAGGGATTCTCCTGCCTCAGCCTCCCGAGTAGCTGGGATTACAGGCGTGCGCCACCACGCCCGGCTAATTTTTTGTGTTTTTAGTAGAAACAGGGTTTCACCATGTTAGCCAGGCTGGTCTCAAACTTCTGACCACGGGTGATCCATCTGCCTTGGCCTCCCAAAGTGCTGGGATTACAGGCATGAGCCGCCACGCCCAGCCAATTTTATTTTTAATTTAAATTGTTTTCCCAGGTTTACCAAGAATCTTTAAACTTCATTCCTTCCATAAAGTCATTATTATGACCTCACCCAGTGGAAGAGGAGGAATGAAGGATGCAAACTTTAAGGTTTCAGAATATTTGAAGTGTTGGGTGCATTGAGACCAGTAGCCGATAATAATCCTTTAATTTTCTCATTTATTAAAGGTTAAAGACATACACTCAATCCCAAGTACTAAAATAGATGTAAAAAAAATCTGGATTTGAAAACTGTTGGTTTTTTAAAGAGAAATATTTTTAAATTCTTATTTTAGGATGAGGATATGTTCATGAAATTTGTAAGTGAAGATTTTCATCGGTGTGCACTTTTAACAGGTTTGAACCTATTCATATAGTTTTTGTTTAGTATAAAACCTTGAGTGGATAAAAAAGAAGATGAGGAAACTAAAAAGTCAGATTGAATAATATAGGGAATGATTATTCTAGTAGATTGTGAAAGAGAAATGTATCCACTTGCAGAATTCAAACTTTTCAGGTTTGTTTTACGTAAACCTATTTTATATTAGAATATAATAAATGAAAGTGGTGATTATCTTATATTTAACATAAGGATTTACCTTGTCATTTCTTTAATTGTATTGAGTATATGACTCCAGTTATAAAGGACAGATTATGTTAGAAGTACATCTTCATTTAAACGAAGTATATTGTCTAAAGAGTCTCCTTAATAAAGTCATTCATTTGCAACTGAACATGTGTGTGGGCATCTTGATGTATACTTAATTTTTAAAGATTTATACTTAGAGTTGTACTTTCAAATGCTAAAATATCTCTACTCAGTATTTACATATGTATCACAAGTACTCTGAAATTGAAGTTAAGGCCTTTATCTTTTTTTTCTTTTGTCTTTTACCACCATCCTAAAATAAATCTTCCTGTTTGAAATAACCACCATTCTCAGTTTGATGTGTATCATTCTAGAACTTCTTCTTTGCATTACACATATCTATACCCATAGGCATAGAAATTTTATAGTATTGTTTTGTGGACTTTTCCCTGCTACCCTTTTCTGTTTTTTAAATTTTGCCAACCTATTAGGAGACAGGGGATAACTCACTCCTTTAACTAGCATTTCTGGGATTGCTAGAGAAATAGAGAATTACTTCTACAGGCTTATTATCTACTCATATTCTTAGTTGATATGAATTACCCATTTATAGTAATCCCTTTTTATGTTGCTTTCTTTGTTTAGAACATTACCAAAAGCAAGATGTAAAACATTTAATCACCCCTAAGTGTTCCTGTGTCTCTGCAGTAGATCCTCTCCTTCCAGGCTTCACTCCTGGCTCCAGACAACCAGTGATTTGCATTCCCCCCCCCGCCCCCGCCCATATTTGGCTTCTCTAGAATTTCACAAAACAGAATCATACATTTTGTGTTTTCTGTCTTCTTTCATTTAGCATAATACTCTTGAGATTTATCCATGTTGTTGCATATATCAGTAGTTCCTTTTTATTGTTGAGAGGTATTCCATTATGTGAATAGACCACAATTTCTCCATTTAGCCATCCATTCATGCACAAATTGTTTCCAGTTTGGGGCTGTAATGAATAAAGCTCCTGTGAATATTTTTGTACAAGTCCTTGTGTGAACATGTTTTTTGTTTCTCATGGGTAAATCCCTAGGAATAGTATTGCTGGGTTATATGCTAAATATATACTATATGAGAAACTGTGAATCTGTTTTCAAAAGTGGCTATATCCCTTTGCATTCCCAGCAATGTGTTATTTCTTCACCAAGAATTCTTATGTTTTAATTCAGTACAAGTGTGTGTTTCCCTTACCTCGTGGAGCAAAATTGTAATGACTCCTTTAAACTTCTTGTCTGATTGTTTTAACATCTGGGTTATCTTGTTGTTAACATTTGTTGATTGCCTTTTGCCCTGAGAACTGGTCCTATTCCTGGTTTTCCGTTGTTCATGCTATGTTGTGTAGATTCTGGGTCAATGTATTTCTTCTAGCAGGCAATCAATCCAGTTAGGTTTAAACAGTAAGTTCTGGCACCCCTTCTGTGGATAATAATTCAGATCTGATTTCTCATCTCTAAGCCTTTGCTATGCTGATTTTTTCCCATGCCAGTGTAGTTCAGGAGTTTTGAGACTTTTATAGATGGTTCAAAGCCCTGTTTAGTTCCCTTAAGTTTTCCTTATATTGGTTTGGGACTATCTTGCACATGTGTAATTCAGGGGTTGAGCTGAGACATTTGTGTGTGGGTTGGGAGGGTGGTTAAAGTTTCAGTTAAGTTTTCATAGTCTCTGAGAGTGTGTCTGCTTTCATAGCTCAGGGATTAGCCCAATTCTGTGGGCTCATACACAGGATTAGGAGATACCTTTCTCTGGTTCCTTTCTTCCCTTCAGGTTCCTTCCACACTGTAAGGACCCCTTTTCTTGGTTCTTCTGTTAAGATTAAGACTGGTTTTCTGATTTGGAGAAGGAATTTTTTTTATTTTATTGTGTGTGTACATATGTCATTTCTTAGTCATTCAGAATTTCTCAACCTCTACACTACTGAGAACCCCACCACATTCTCCCATGACATCCTGTATATGCCTGCGTGATTGCCCTTGCGGTATCACATCACCTAACCCTTCCTTCCTTCTCTCTGTACTGAGAACGCCTTGATCTCAGAGACTGTCTTATCAATGTTTGTATCTCTTCCCAGCACTGGTTCTGGCACATAGTAGGTAATCACTAAATAGGATATTATCATTGTTAGGGTGGTGTGACTAAATTATTCGGCTCAAGAGAAAAAGAAAAGACTACTCTCAAGCATTTTGGAATCAAACATTTATAATAAAAATAACCCCAAACTTTAGTAAATGGAAAAAAAAGGACTGAGTTTCTATTTGAGATTTAGCCATTTGCACCACTGCACCGCACTGCTCTGTTCAGCACGCTAGAGCAAACATTCATTCAGCACACTAGAGCAAACAAGGGTCTGGATTCACCTTCCTGTGGGAGTGCTTCTCTAAGTTTTAACTCTACAGTCTGCTCTTGTTTACTTTTCAAATTCTTCGGATAGTTATGTTTTTGTATTTTATCTAGAATTGAGTTGTAATTAGTGAGAGAGAAGGCCTGTATAAGACTTATGTTGCCACAGCAGGACTAGAACTCTTGTTCATTAACTTTTGATTGAATGACAAACTTGCAAATTTTACATGTGGTTGCTGGATTTTGTTGTATTCAGTTAAAGAATGTTGAACTTTGTCCTGATAAGCAGTTGTTTTGCTTGTGGATCAGTTTCATTACTTTGAGGCTTGCCTTTCAGCTTTGTTAGAGTGTGTCCAGCCAGAACAGTCTTTACTCCAGGGCTGAGTTCATTATTTAGGCGTCAGCTCACGTTTACCTCTTTAGAGAAATCTTGCCTGTCCACCCTATCTAAAATAGCATTCTCACTCCCACTTTCCTGTTTCTAATCTTCATTTATATTTCTGTGTTTTATTTTTGTAGCATTTGTCATCACTGAAATTATCTTGTTTTCCTACTTATATATGTCCTACTACAGTTTAAGCTCATGATGGCAGGGACACTGTTTTTTTCACTCTGTATGGCAATTGTCTGTTTATAGTTTTTAGCACATACTAGATGCATTATAAGTATCTGTTGGATGAATGAGTCTATAGAACAATCCTGATAAGTAGCTAGGGCAGGTGATATTATTAGTTATTGACCTGTAGTAAGATTTATGTTCAAAGAGGCTGCCTTGCCCAAACAAAGTCATACAAAAAAAAGTGATAAAAGGGAAGGAATCCAGTTATCTGAGCTCCAGTCCAGTTGCTGTATCAGCTGTTGTACAAAAATAACCAAGAACTACGTCTCGGCAAAAAGCCACATTTCAGAGGTGAAAGAGCAAGAGGAGTCAGTGAGACAAATGGAAAACCAAATATGTAGAAGGGAGGGGGAAATCCAGGAAATGTGTCATAAGAGAAGTACGCTTAAGGAGGGGTGATCATCAACGTCAAACTGATGCCGTACAGTATCACACCAATATACCAGACCACTGCACGGCCTTCTTGGTGTGGCCCCATACTAGTCTATATGAATTGTGTTCCTGGCATTGTATCACACAGTAGCTCTAGAAGGAAAACTGAGAAAAAGTTGTGACTCAGTTCACCAGCAAACCTTGAGAATACAGTTCCAGTAAGTAGTGAGGAATTATAGTTCATCACTGTATTTAACTCATTAGACATTTAGATGATTTGCTAGAAGAGCTACAAGAAACAAATGTTTTTAAAGTAGTAGTGAGCTTTTAGAATAAATTAATAGTATAAAGGTCAACTATTTTTTGGCTATTGTGAAGCTCAATCATCACAAAATTTCATTAGTACTTTTATAAAAAGTGCCATGAATTATAAAACATTTGTAATGATACCCACACATTGAATAGTGTTGAAAGGAAAAAAGGAACTATATAAAAATTACAGGAGTTGGTATTTTTCTTCTTCCCACTCATGATTGTGTTTGAATCTTTTTCTCAGCTGACTCTTTTGGTGATCCCTTCTTCCCCCGGACTACACAGATACTATTAGAATATCAGCTAGGGAGATGGGTGCCACGTCTTCGTGAACCACGGGATTTATATGGTGTCTCTTCTTCTGGTCCACTGAGCCCAACACGGTGGCCATACCATTGTGAAGTCATCGATGAAAAAGTCCAGCATATTGGTATGTTTTTAGCAGTTTGAGCGATTCAGACATTAGCAAACTTACTTTGCCAACCTTGATTTTAATGAGGAGACTCACAATGTTAGAAAACAGTACATTCCAACAGAAATATAACGTGAGCCACATATGTAATTTTAAATTTGCTTGTAGCCACATTTAAAACGGCAAAAAGAAAATGAAATTAACTTTAAAAATGTATTTTATTTAACCCAAAAATATCCAAAATATTTCACATTCTTTTTGCACAAAGTCTTCAGAATCTGGTGTGCATTTATCTTTACAGACATTTGAATTGAGATCAGTCACATTTCAAGTGTTCAGTAGCCACATGGGCTTAAATGGAGGCACTTACAGCATTTGCTTGGCTCCTGAAGCTTTAGCAATTCTAAACAATTGCAAAGGGCATGACGGTGTCCCAGGCACAAACTCATACACAGAGTGAAGGCATAGATGGAGGCTATGCTGGAATGGCTGTGAGCTGCAGTCCTGCTCTTTGTGGCTTCCTGTCTCTTTCTCATTTCCTCTTTGTATGTTTGTCTTCTTCTTAGTGTATCTTTATCTTCTTTTACCTCTTTCTGCCTTTTTTCTTTTTTCCATTTCTTTTCCTGTTTCATTTTCTCTTTCTGCTTCTTTGTCTTTTACCCACTTTCTGCTTTTTCCTTTAATGGATGTTTATGAAACTGAAGAGTGTATATTTTAGTATATATAGATTTTTAATGCTTCTGTATGTGTCCATTCCCAAATTCAGTTTTTGCTTTCCTAGGTAAAGCTTATAGCCTCATCTCTCCAATCTATGCACAGGTATGACAGAAACATCCCATTGTTCACCATCTTTTCACTGCCACAACTCTCCACCTTTTGTTGATTGAGGCATTTATTGCCAGGTAGAGATCTTAAAGACATTCATTGGTGAATAAAAAAAAATTACACATACACACTTTTTATAACTATACTTATTACAGTGCCTACTAGGAGTTCTTAAAAACTAAATTTTCTTCATATATCATCTGGCATATAGATAGATAGATGTGGGGAGAAAGGAGAGGGGTGGAGAGAGAGAAAGAACACTGATTTTTGTTCATGGAGGACAAAGTTAATTTTCTTCAAGAATTCCAAAGTTATAGGGTTAAAAACATATTAAAGAATTCATGCTTAATAGTACTAAACAGAATCACTTATTCGTACCGATCTCTTCAAAGCTGGGTATATATTTATCTTCTGTAGTATAGGACATCTCTCTCCCTTTTTCTCCTTTCAGTCCTTCTACCATCATCCCCACCTCTCCTCTGTTACCACCCCCTCCAACCTCATTTTTTCTACAGCACCAGGGCAGGAAATAAAAAAGTCAAGCAGAGAAAACACTGCCATGCTACTGAATTTGAACCTTCCACCAAGCCTTTCTTTTTGTACTTTGGTTCTTTTTCCCAGCCGCCTCATGACATATCTGTGGCAGAGAGAATGGATAAGGAGCAATAAAGGAAAATCCGTATGCTCCTACTGTGACTTCTGCCTGATTTCTCTCCGGTAGCAGTGATGAGAGAATGAGCGCAGAAGAGACCCAAAAGGAAGAGGAAAGCAAGATCCCATCGGGCCACTGCTTCTCAGTGTCACTTCCAGCCCCATGTGCTCATTCCACTCAACTCTGTTCCACCTCATCTAACTAGAAAACCCTTCTGTTGCATCCTTGCCACACCTTTCTGTTCCTTAAATTTCCTAGCCCTCACTTTCAGCCGTCATGTTTGCCCTCAGTTGCAGGAGTCACCATCAGCAGCTCAGAGTTGGGAGAGGTTCTGTTTTCTTTGGTTGCTTGGTAATCCCCCACTGTTACTGCTGAGGTTCTTTCAGATGAGGGCAGCTGTGTTTCTGGCCTCTTCTATTGAAATTTTAAATATAATTTCTAACCAAAATATTGTTATAAGAGTGGCTAGAGTTTGTGGTGCCATCTTTCAGATCTCTTATATAATAAATAGGCTTTGGGCTCTGTGAACCCAGCCTCCACCCTGGTGAAGGTGCAGTCACCACACAGTACAGGTGCAGATGCAGCCTCTCTCAGCATACATTTCCCAAGATCCCCAGAGTCATGTCACACAGCTACTAGTGACACTGTCTGTGCAAGGTAGAGTCATGCTGGATAAAAGTTTTATTTTGGGCTATGCCACTGCTCTTTTATTTTCCGTCTGCGTCCCTGAAATTTTTGCAAGCTCCGCTGGTCCTCAAGCCAACTGGAACACCCAATATAATACATCCTTGTGTAGGAAGACTCATAATCTTCACCCACATTTGTCCTTGATGGCTTTTTCCACTTTGCTTGCTAGCATTTCAGAAAGTTTACTTCCCACAGTCTTACATATTGCCCTAGACCCTGCTTTTGTCACTTGACTATTGCAAAGATTTTACAAATTTGGATATTTGAAAGGACTTACAAGACTTCACAGAGCATTCTTCTGTGTGGCTTTTATTTAAAGGCAAAGGATAGGTGCAGCAAGAGAAAGATACTATGGCAAGCATTGGGGCTCAGGTGCAAGCTTTCCAGGGGCCTTATTCACACAGACTGCCTGTCTTCAGATTGAAACACCAAGATCTATGTGATGCATCTTTAGCTTCAGAAAACCTCAAGGCAAAAGTTCCCATCTGGGTTTTTAGGCCCTTGTAGTCATGACATCAAGCCAGGCTGTCTTCCTGATTCTGCCAAATGAAAACCATCAGTAAACAAACTGGCCATGCGGGGTTTTCGGGGGCAGTTTCAGACAGTAAACAGCACATCATTAATCTTACTGTTCTTATCTTGGCCAAGAGTCAAAGCTGGACAGCCAGAATTCCCCAGAGGTAAAAATAGAGCTTTTCCAGTCCAGCTATAAATTAACTCTGTCTTACACAGCCATATATCTTGAAAGTATTTCCATATCAGTTTATATATATTAATCTCCTTTTTTATAAACTGGTACATCAGATTTCATTAAATGGATGAATCAGAATTTCTTTAACTGGTACCTTATTAATGAATTTAAGGGGTTTCCAGTCATTGGCTCTGACAAACAGAACTGCATAAATATCCTTTTATGTGTGGCCTAATGCATATAGACATACATATTTTAGGGGTATTTTGCTAGAATTTCTGGTATAAGGATACTGTCAAATTTTCCTCCAAAAAAAGTTACATCAATTTATAGTCATAAAAGCAAATAGTTTATGAGTATGGTCAGGGGTCCTCAAGATGACTCATATTCAACGATTTGCTTCAAGGACTCACAGAACTCAAGAGAAGCCATTATACTCATGGTTATGGTTTATTACACTGAAAAGATACAGATTAAAATCAGCAAAGGTAATAATGGCATATAGCAGCGGTCCCCAACCTTTTTGGCACCAGGGACCAGTTTCGAGGAAGACAATTTTTTCACAGATGTTGGGGGATGGTTTGGGAATGAAATTGTTCCACCTCAGAGTATCAGGCATTAGATTCTCATGAGGAGCACACAGCCTAGATCCCTTGCATGCACAGTTCAAGGGATCTTGTTCAAGGGATCTTGAACTGTTGCTGCTGAACTGATAGGACCAGTGCTGGTCCATGGCCTCAGGGTTGGGGACCCTTGCTATGCGGCAGAGTCCAGGTGAGACCAAGCACAAGCTTCCAGTTGTTCTCTCCCTGTGGAGTCTTAGGAACAGCACTTAATTCTCCCAGCCATAATGTGAGATAATATGAAGTGCTGCTAATCAGGGATGCTCATCTAGCTTTGATGTCACTGGTTTCTATTGCAGGTTGGTTATATTTACATTCAGTGCCCACATGGCTAACCTTAGTTACTTAGTCTCTGGCCTTTCCAGGGGTCAAAATTGATACTGTGTGTCCAAGCCCTCTACCACCACCACCACAATAAATCAGTTGTTAGCATAAACTATCTGACATAGCCCAAGGTCCCAGGTAGACAAAGATACTCTTATGAGGCAAGGTATTCCAAGGCATCAGAGGTTATCTCCCAAGAGTTTAGCAAGGTCCAAACCTTTACAATGTGCAGGGTTTGGACAACCAAGACCTGCTGAGTTAATCATTTATGCACAGGCTACTCACTGTCCCTTGGCCTAGGCTCTCTTAACAGAGAGCCTAGTTTGTATAATATGATTATCTCCTATTTTAATATTCTACTATTTATACCTTTTGACAAACTTGTACATAATTACTCAGCATAGAAATTAACTCATAATTAAGTAGATCCAGTTATTAGCCCATTTTTCATTGATACTACATACCAAGGAGGCTGTGATTCAATTTTCCAATACATTTGATCATCATCATTTGACTTACTTACATAAGGGAGAGGAATCATTCCAGCAGTACCGATGTTAGACTGTATCTGCAGTATTGTAGTAGATGTAACCTGAAAAATAAGAATCAAGAGATAATGGCCCATTACCTCTGTCATTAACAATTAATTGGTCCAGTTCATCATTATATCATATGACCAGAATGCCTCCCAGAGCAATGCCACTCAAGTTTGCAGGCTTCCATTCAAGCTTTTCAGCTTCTAAGAGCAAGGTTGGTCTTAGAAAACTGACTTCACCTTTTTGGGCATCTAGTATAATTAAGCTAAGAGACTACAGTCTCTTGCTCCGAGCCTCTCTCAAAGCACCAGTGTAATACTAGATTTTCCTCATTACCTGATTCATTTATTTATTCCTGTGCCTTGGCTATTTCTCCTATTTTTCACTTGTCATAATTTTTTACCCAAACATTTTCACCTTTGGAAGAGTTGTTAGGCTTATCCACTGTGCTGGTCTAGATTGCCAGCAGTAATACCAGTCTAGCTCATGCCTCCTTTCAGCTCATTCCATTTTATTTAGAGTAAGAATATATAGGTATAGAACTAGTGGGCTATCTTGACCACCAAGAAATACAGCTCCATTCACTGTCAATCCGAATTTTGCCAGATGGGGTGAAGATACAGTCCACCCCATTAGGCCCATAGCAATTCTGACATAAAGGTTGAAAGGTAGGTTTCTTGCTTAGGAATGATTCCTGTTTCTAGCACCTGCAGTCTCCAACCACTGCCCCAAGTAGGAAAAAAGAAAAGTTGAGGTGACCTGAGAAATCACTTTGTTGTTTGTACCAGTGTACTCCTCCATCCCTTCTTCTCCAGATCCACCATAAAAGTAAAAGAATTTGTCATGTGGGGACCCGCTCTTGTCCCCCTCATGTTGAATGTGCATACACACTCATGAAGGTATATATGTCAGCCCTTCCTGCCTTTATCACCCCCCATTTTAGACCAAAAAAAATGTTTCAATTACCTTTTCCAATTCTCTAGTAAACCACTATTCCATTTTGATGTGATATCTTTTTGACCATCATTAGACACTATGGGCTGTAAAGTGTGTTTCTTGGTCTGAAGAAATATAACTTGATGGTCCAAATTGCCACAGTATCTTCTGTTTCAGTCCTTTTATAGTATTTTAAGCATTTGTATCCATCTGTCTCTGGGGGTGCAAAGCCTAGTCCAGAGTAAACGTCTAGTCCTATCAGGATCCTTTTATAGTCTGGGGGCTACCACAGAATTCTGATGTAGTTACTTGTCAGTTGTGTGTGCCACCTTCTCCCCAGGAAATCTGCCTATAGCCACCTGCGGTCTCTCTCTCTCTCTTGCAGTATTTATTTATATTTTGTGCCTCAGAGGGAAAAAGAGAAATATGCCAACAATCAGCCCATGCCTACATTTCTACACCTCTCCCATTCCCATTTATTTCATGGACCTACATGCCCACCTTAAGTAAGCACACCAAGTTTTCCACTTAGTGGGTCCAGTCATCATCTGATCCTGGAAGAGTGTTCTTCTGGTAGGCATTGACATGTCCTACTTTAATGTGCCCCTAATTCCCATGGTGATTTCCATAGGATAGTGCCCCACATGGGGCATCTAATAGACTAGTTTTTCATTGCCCATTTATTTGACCATGTGGCCAGCCATTAGCACACCCAAACTTTGATTATTTTTAAATGGAACTTTTATACTTGTTCAGTGTTTTCATCACTGCACGGACAGCATATAGTTCAGCCTGAGCAGATTGTTCTTACTTTCTTCAATCAAAACTTTTCCATCATCTGATGTAGTACAGTAGTCTTCCAAACAGGATGTTGACCATCCACCTTGGAACTGCCATCAGTCAACCTAGTAGCTCTCTTTCAATAGAGAGCTGTTCATAGGGTGCTGCCCAGGTGGCCATAGGATTTGGTGGCTCCTCAGCTGATTTCAAAGTAGGCTCCAGTGGAAAAGAGACCTCCTGCACATGAACAGAATGAGTACCTCCTTGCATTGTCCCAGTAACATTGTCCTGTATAAACCGTTTCCATTTATTATGGAGCCCTTCTGGGCACTACCTTATTAGAGTGTTTCTCTCACATCACTTAAGGCATTATGGGCATTTCAGCTTTCATGGTTATATGTCCTTCAGTATAATGGTTAATTAATTTTATGTATCAGCTTGGCTTGACCATGGGATGCCCAGGTAGCTGGTAAAACATTATTTCTGGATGTCCCTCTGAGGGTGTTTCTGGAATAGATTAGCATTTGAATTGGTAGATTCAGGAAAGAAGATCCACCATCACCAGTGTAAGGAGGTGGGGCGTCATCCAATCTATTGAGGGCCTGCCTGAATAGAACAAAAGGATGGAGGAAGGGTGAATTCTTTTCTTGAACTGGGATATTCATCATCTGCCCCCAGACATCAGAGCTTCTAGTCCTCAGGCTTTTGGACTTGGACTGAATTACACCACCAGCCTTCCTAGTTCTACAGCTTGCACACAGCAGATTATGAGACTTCTCAATCTCCATAATTCTGTGACAATGTGCATACATATATGTGTATATTCACTGATATAATTCCTATAATACACACACACACACACACACACACACACAGAGTCTACTGGTCTATTTTTTCTGAAGAACCCTAATACATTCAGTCACGGGCATTTTCAACTAATGTCCAATAGCAAGTTAGTAATTTGTTCTCAATTTAGCTGTATATCTTATAGCTGCATCTGAAAATTTTCTGGTCCAAATTCTGGCAGTCACTGCTGGATGGTGCTCACAGGCTTTTTCCATAGCCCCATTCTCTGGTCCATACAGGGCTACTGTAGAGAAAATGTGTTGGTACCAGCAGCCCAGTTTTTAACACATCATTGATTAAAGGTGTAATCTATTTTTGTGCACCAGGTATTCTATACTATTTCCAACTAAAATCTGTGGGCTTGGACAGTTCTGTAGGTTCCCATTTAGCAGGTATACTGGATAAAGGGCCAATTTACATGCCTTTGGTTTTACAATATAAGGTAGGGAAGTGTTCCCCAATCAGATATAAAATCCATCCCAATACATTCAGGTAAAGGAGATACATCCAGTTCACATGAAGTCCATTTAGGTATTTCAGTTTTAATCTCAACTTTCACCTTAATTTCATCAACCATTTCATGGCTAAGTCCTCCCAACCTAACTGTAGTCCACATTAGGATTTCACCCAACAGATTTTGGAACCTCAGTGCATTGGTCTGCCATGTCAGAGTCCCAGAAAAGCTTATTCTCCACCCCCTGTCCATTTTAACCACACGTGCATATAGCCCATGTCCCCAAACAAGGATCAGACTAAAGGACTCTGACCCTTTTCATCAGTCTTTATCCATATTAGATTGTGAGACAATTGCCACGGATGATTTGAGGTAACATTTTTCATTGTCCTTTTTGCCTTTCAGCTTTGTTAATTCCTCCAGACTAAGGTAAATAGAACAGATTTGTTTAAAGCTCTTCAAAGTTGGGGTATGCCAGGAGCTCCTATTGGTCTATGTAATCTCCAGTAGTGCTTCATTAAGCCTTTGATCCCATCAGTGTCCAACCTGCTGGGATGAGTCCCTTGATTCTTCCTTTTGTCTTTCCCTGTTCTTTCATGACTCATATTATTTTAGCTGTCAGTTTTTTCAGCATGTTATTTGTCTCTTTGTTGGAAACCCTGAAGCTAGTGTCTGTAACTTGGACCAGCTGAAATTCAAGCTTGGCCCAGCATCAGGATTTGCCTCAACACTTTACTGTCATTTTAGCTATTACACATAATAACTGAGAGATTGTATATTTAGCTTGTTTCTTGTCATTTTGCCTTTCCTTATGCATCTAGTGAGCCAACTCTTTAGGAGTTAGATTTATCATTTCTAAATTCCAGTGGTGACTTTTACTTCTAGTAACTGGTTGCAACACAGCTGCTACTTAACACCATGAGTGGCCCAGTGGCCATACAGAATCAAAGTTTTGTCAACTCCTACCCTCTTATCCTTCCTTTTCCCAAACCATTCTTTCACCACATTTCAGTGAGTCAGGGTGATTCTAGTGAATCCCACTTCCGATGTCACCTGTGATCAGGAGTCCCCAAGACCACCCCAAGGTTCAATGATTCATTAAAAGGACTCGAGAAATTCAGAAAAACCATTACATTAATGATTGTGGCTTATTACAGTGAAATGATACAGACTAAAATCAGCAGAATTGATTTAGGGCAGTGTCCAGGAGAGACTAGATGTGGGCTTCCAGTTGTACTCTCTTTGTGGAGTTTTATAGATAGCACTTACTTCTTCCAGCCATGATGTGAGATAACACCCATGAAGTACTGCTAATCAGGGAAGCTCATTCAGCGTTGTTGTCCAGAGTTTCTATTAGGGACCAGTTATGTCTGCATGGAAGGCCCATGTGGCTGGCCTTAGTTATTCAGTCCCCAGCCTCTCCATCCAAAATTAATATAATGTGGCCCAGAGCCCCCCACCACAACTCACATTATTAGCATAAACTATCTGATGTAGCCCAAGGCCCCAAGTAGACAAAGAAACTCTGAACAGGCAGAATATTTCAGGGTCTTAGAGGTTATCTCCCAGGAGTTGGACAAGGTCCAACTCTTTCTTTGGAGGTACAGGGTTTGGACAGCCTAGGCCATCTGTGTTAATCCTGTACTGCACAATGAGATTACCTATTTTCCCATACTCATCAATACTGTTAATCACCCATTCTGGTTTTCAACAATCTGATATTGTTTACTTGATATGTGTTGTTTTCATGTATTCTTTATGGATGAAACTGAACGTTTTATCTACTGACTGTACATAAGCTACCTGATAAAATCCTTTGCCCATTTTGCTATTGATTGGACATTTTTTCTTCTTGATCTGTAAGTGCTTTCTGTCTATGCAAGAGATTTGATTACTGTGTCTTATATGTTGCATGCTGTTTTTCTCAGTTTTTCATTTGCCTTTTGTCTTTGTCATGCATAAATTTGTAATTTTTATGTAATTACTTTGTCTATCATTTTTAAATGATTTCTGGGGTTTTGAAATTTTCACACTTCTTTCTTAGTAGTGTCCAAGTGTATTTTTTGTGATTAAATTTTTGATCCATCAGGAATCCATTTTGATATAAGAAGTAAACTTCCAATCCAGTCCTGTTATTAAAT